ATACAGGAGGAGATTGTCCCTCCTTCTTCAGCAGAGCATCTGGTGGATTCGAGCCTCACATCTCTGGGGTTGCAGTGCAGCTTCTTGCCAGGGGTTGCAGTGCAGCTTCTTGCCAGTAGACCACCAGAGCTCGCCGTATATACCTTTCAGGAAAGGGTTTTTGTCCATTTTTGGGTGGTACTTTGTGCTCAACTTCCAATCAAAGACTGGCCGTTAGAGTCCATCCAGCAGCATTGCTGCAGTGAGGAGAGGCCTGGTAATGTGCTTCCGTAAACAGCTGAGACGATCTTGCCAAGCAGCTCTAATCCATAACATGTGAGGTCACCTTAGTTTGACATCAACTAAAGGACAGATTGTATTTTGTTTTTCTAAACATTTTAGGAGACTCAGTATTTGCACATAATTTTGATCTCAGTCAACTTGCTTAATGATAAAATAACACAGAAATCTCAATAAACTCAACTGCAGTTTGCTATAAATTGGTATCAGTGACACAAAATAATATGGAAGGCCAAAGGCAAAGGTTGCTTTTTTAAAAAATGTACTTCTAAAGTCTGCATTAAAACTGTCTGGGAATCCTCACTTCACATTCTGATATTAAAAAAAATAATACATAGTGTTAAAACACCACGAGAACAATTTGATGTAAAAATAAAACCTTTTCTTTCCACATTTTAGCATGGAAATAACCAGCCTGCAAGAACTGGCACACTGTCGAGAACAAATCCGCCTACTCAGAAACCACCGAGTCCTCCCATGTCAGGCCGGGGAACACTGGGGTAAGAATTCAGTGGCATTTTTACAGGAAAACTTTTATGTTAAAGGAAATAGATATTGTTATAATTTACATAAATTTGTAGATCCTTGCTTTGAGACTCTCTCCATGTCAAACTACCTTTTACTAGTTAATTTTGATTTTTACTTTTCTGAACAGATGCCAAAATTAAGCCACCTGTTTAATAGTGTTCTCTGTAGACATCAGTGCGAGGAAAGTCCTTTTATGTGTTTGTAAACGAGCATTATTTATTTTGTGTTCTGATTCATCTTTTAAAGTATAAGTGTGACTTATATTTGTTTCATATGGTATGACCAGTGAATCTTGTGATACCTTCATATGTATTTGCAATTGTTGTCTTACAGAGTTTTGACTATGTGGTTTATTCTGTGTAGCTTGGCTTGGTAGTCTGTAGCTCTTCTGTTTTCCCTATGACTTAGCACCTGAGATTTAAGAACTACCTGGAGTGCTTCTAACTATTGGTAGCCTTAGGCCCCCTTCATACTTCATGGTTTTGTGGGAAGGCCAGTTGGAGAAATAGAAAAGGTAACAGTTCCTAAGATAATAAAATTACTGAATACTTGAATACATTTCTAAGATTGTTCACCTTAACCCAGAAAATATTGTTATTAGGTTTCTTTTTTTTTTTAAGTGAAGGATTAGATAATTGCTTTTTTGTAATAACAAGAATTGACAGTAATTTTTTTTAAAGGGGTTGGTTGTAATTTTCATTCTGTAAATTTCCCTGCCCTCTATAAAAACGTGAAGTTATAGACAATGAAAAATATTTGTTAAGAATTTAACGACATCTCTCCTAATATCAGAATGTACTTCTTCATATGTTTCCGTATTGAAATAGGATTAAATTGCAGAGGAGATATTTCTCTTTCATAATGTAAAAGAAAGTAGTTTATGGGTGACTGAGTGGAGAGTAATGTTCATTTTAGTTTGGTATTTTCAGGATTTAAAAAGTAAAACCACTATTTTTGGAAGTAAGTTTGGAATTTTAAATGACTCTGAATAGGTAACAGGTATTTTTGTCTTAATTGAACAGTATTGATATGTCCCAATTAAAGCATTATTTTGGCTTTTTTGTTATTTTAATTATCATGATTATTTTACTGTATTGTACACAGACTTGGAGGAAAATACAGTTTTATCTCTTTTACTCATTCTACCTTTCTTCGCTATGCTCTTTTAGACGGAATACTCCTTATAAAACCCTGGAACCTGTTAAGCCCCCCACAGTTCCTAATGACTACATGACGAGTCCTGCTAGGCTTGGAAGTCAGCATAGTCCAGGCAGGACAGCTTCTTTAAATCAGAGACCGAGGACACACAGGTAAACCTTGGGGTAGAGCATTTGAACACCTCAGAGTGAAGATTATTTACTCTTCACAAACTGGTGCTGAGTAAAGGTAAAGTACTGTTCTATTTTAATACAGAATATAAAAGGGAGGACAGTAATATCATACATGTCCCCATGAATTTTTTACCACAGTTTCTGTTTTAGATTTTTTTAAAATCTCTGTATACTATTAGCAGACTATTAGTATTTCTCCTTTTGAGAGAAGTACAGGCTTATATCTGGCTGAAGCCGAAAGAGTTTTTAACAGTCTTTTACAAAGGGTCAGTTATCACTGAAATGATGCAATATGAAAGTTGAGGGAGGATGATTTAACCTAGGTCTGAAGAATTACTTAAGATATATTATTTTACAAATGGTAAAATAATTTCTCACATGAGCTATCGTGTAGGTACTTTAAAAACTTGAATCATGGCGTACATTTAGAAAAGTACTTTGTTATGGATATAGCTTTGTGGACTAATACACATTGAACACACTCATATAACCATTACTTATATCAGTGTGAAACATGACCCAATAGCTTTATGCTTATACTCTCCCAATTACTGCCTTTATCTTCATCCCTCTGAAAACAGCCATTTCAAGTTTTGAGCACTTCTAAAAAACCAGAAAGATTTTATTGCATTACTTAATTTGTTTTATTCTTCAACTTTATCACTTAGATAGTTAAATTGCTGATCATAACTTAGCAGAATTATTTGTCAAGATTGAGTTAGATAGGCTATATAATCAGGCTCTTAGTGGTATTTGTTGCTGTTACTGCTAGGGAATTATTACATTGGTCTCTACTGTTAACACTTATTAAGTCAAGTTTAATGTTAAGTTTACCTTTTTTATTACCAAGTCAGAAATAGGAATTTTCTCTGTAATGGAAATAATGAGATTTTAATCATATTAAAGACTAAGAATTCATGAAGTACTTCATTAAGTACTTATAAACCCCTTAAATTGAAACTGACTCATAGCTTACCCTCCATTGAGTTTCCAAGGCTGTAAATTGTAGGGTCACTGTTCTTCCTCTGGAACTGCTGTTGGATTGTCCTGCCAGAGAAACTAGGGTTAGCAGCTCAGCACCCTGCCGACTAGACCACTAGAATTCCCAGCAGATTCTAATAAGTAAGATACTAGTTCATTTTTTAAGGAACTTAATCTCTAATAACAGGCTCAGTCAACAATTTTTTTTTTCATAAAGTGCCAAATTATTGGGGTGCGGTGTGAGGGCTGGGCAGGGAGAAAAGTGCAGCAATGAATGAATGGAAATCCAAAATCTCTGTTAATGTTTATTAAAATTACTAAAATAATATAAAAATTTTTTTAAAAAGAGCCAAATTATGAATAATTTAGGATTTGTAGGCCATATGGTTTCTGCTGCAGTGCCTTAATTTTGTCTTAGTACAAAAGGAGATCGGTAATAGAATATAAATGCATAAACATTGCTGTGTTCCAATAAAACTTTATTTATGGATACAGAAATTTGAGTTTCCTATTTTAGTGTCACAAAATAAGAGTTTTCTTTTTTTCCTTCTCTTTAAAAATGTGAAAAAAGATAATTGAGTATATGCCCATACATACACACATTACTAAAAAAAAAATGGCAAGAAGTCTTTCTCTAAAAGGAGAGTAGAGAGTAGGTTAGAGTTAAGTGTAGGGCTATTCTGGATTATTTCCAAATGCACTATCCTGAAGCTATACTATTACAGCTTTCCACTCATTTTCATTCCAGAAAATTCCCATTTTATCACCTTTCTTAGCAATGAGTGGAGTTTTCATGTTAATTTCAGCCTAGAATACCATTCTTTTTTTTTTTTTTTTTTTATTTCATTGCATAAGATCTTTTACCTTCTCTTTTATAGCCTCTGTCACACTTTTTTTAGGGAGGGCTGGTGGCTTAGTAATAAGGAATTACACTGCCACCCCTAAGGCCTATAAAATCCACTAGCTTCTCCATGGGAGAAGGATAGGCAATCTCCCGTGTGATTACTGCCTCTGAAAACCCCTGGAGGTTCAACTATGAATTGATTCCAACTTGCTGGGACATAATGATATTATCCTTTTTTAGTATCTGTTTTCTCATGCTCTCCTATCAGTTTCATGTCAGTGTGAATCTTGTCTGCTTTGTTTTCTGTTGTTCATAGTTGTTGTTATGTGCCGTTGAGTCGCTTGCGATTCATAGCGACACTATGTACAAGAGCCCTAAACCCTGTTCTATCCTGTGCTGACCTTACTGTCTCCAGCACACCTACTCCCATTACTCCAATCACTGAATTGATCCATCTCATCAAGGGTCTTCTTCCTCTCTGGTGCTGTCCCTCCACCCTCCCAAACATGATGTCCCTCTCCAAGGACTGGTCTCTCCTTGCAACATGCCCAGAGTATGTCAGACAAAGCTTCAGAATCCTTGCCTCTAAGAGTAGCCTGGTTTCACTCTCTCCAGAACGAGCCTGTTTGTTCTCGTAGCAGTCCATATATTCAACACTCTTCTCCAGCACCATAGCTCAAAGGCATCAATTCTCTTTCTATCATCCCTAGTCACTGTTCAGCTCTTTGATGCATAGCATGCACTTGCGAAGATTGTGGCCCATAGTAGCTACTAAATAAACATTTGGGGACCAGTTTTACTGCAAGATTTTATTGGTAATAAATACCTTTTAGTATTTTCTCAAGATATCTTACAGGAAGTTCTAAGTACTGTGTTATGATTAGATTCGTTCCGTATAGGTTGAGAAGTGGAGTGAAACCTAACAACTACTTCAGATATTAGGATTAAGATTTTATAAAAAGTCTATAGATTTTCTGTTTATATACTATATAACATATTTCATTGAAGGAGTTTTTAGTTACTTTAGATTAGTTATTACTACTCTTTTGGTAAGTCTTGAGTTTTGCTTTTGTCCATAATCTGTGCTTGTCTTTGTAGTGGCAGTAGTGGAGGAAGTGGAAGTCGAGAGAACAGTGGAAGCAGCAGTATTGGCATTCCCATTGCCGTGCCTACACCTTCACCACCCACCATTGGGCCAGGTACATTATTTATGAGTCGGTATTTAACATGTAGTAATATTCATGAGTTTTAAGATGAAGGGCTAATGGAAGTCAATTAAAGCTATATTACTTGAAATTGCTTATTTATGTGATTGTTGCTAGAATAGAGGCTAACAAATTTCAAACTTTTTAGATTGATTGTTACAAAATCTTTTTATTTTTACCAGCTGTTTCTTTTTCTTACATATAAAGTGTATTAAATCATTTTATTAAATAACTTTATGGCTGTTTCGCTTTAGAAATATTTGCCTAGGGCACTGGTCAAGAATGATTTTTATTATTTCACAAGCTGACCAATAAATATTGTCTGGTGCTCCAACCAATCAGTCAGTGTCTGAAAAAGTGTGAATTATGTTTCAGAGACTTTGGATGTTGCCTTCTAGGCTACTATCTCCTATCTGCTATAATCTTGTTCTATGACTTTACTACTTTTATGTATGTATGTATATATGTAAGAAATTATCACAGAATGTTAACATTCGCTCCAGATTTTCAGTTAATGAGAAAGATGGAGACTTATTAAAATATCAGTCATAAATTTTGAAAATAAGTGTAATCAAAATTGTAAACAGAAGAAAAGTCCTCCATGGCTTCAGGATTTTGTTGAATAAGAGGGGAAAGCTACTCTTAGATACAAGCATAGTTCATATGTAGGTGTAAGTTCTCTGGCCTTTTTACCTAGTAAAATTCTTATTCATTTGAACATGCTTTACATAGGAGTGTCTCTTTTTCTTTTCTTTTGCATACATTGTACTTTCTTACTGTTTCAGAATGTTTAGTTCTCTTTCTTGAACTCTGACCTGAATTATAAACTATTTTATTAGAAAACATTTCTGTCCCTCCTCCTTCTGAAGCTCCACCAGCACCACCACTTCCACCACTTCTCCCAGTGAACACTGTGATAGGTGAGATTGCATAACCATTGGAGTGATTTAACTTACTTTGCATTATTCATAATAAACTCCTCTGTGTCTAGTAGACTGACTGTTTTATAGTTAGTAAGTAGTAAGTAGTAGGTAGTAGTTCCAAACTTAAACTATTAAATCTAATATATACTAATGGTTTTGGTGAAAGGCCTCTGAAATTTAAAGCTAACAAATATAAAGTAACTTTCTCTATAATGTGAAATGTTTCTAGCCTTGATTTATTGACAATTTAATGTGTTCTTTGCTTTGTTAATAATTTTTCTAGGAAAATTATAGCAGTGGTTATTCAAAAAAAATTTTAAGATTAGCAATGTAATCTTATTTTTTTGTTGTTGTTTTCAAGTGAAACAAATTTGGAACTCCCTGGTATATACACCAGTCAAGGGATTGAGGTGAAGGTGGGGTGGAGAAAAAAAATGATGGGAGGCTTCCCCATGTTTCACAATGTATCAGATTCTAATTTAGCTCAGTTTTGATCGTTTGAGGATGTCATGAAACAATTTTTTAATGAAATGCATTCAAATTATTCCCAAGTTGAAGATGACTGGATTGAATGTACAAGGAATTCCAAATACAGATTTTATATAGAAACTCCTCAGCCTAGAAATAAAGACACGAGAATAGTAATTGGGAAACTATGGATAATGATACACTTCTTACTTATCAGTATGGTTAGATTCTAAAGATTGTGTGAAAATCATTGTTATACAAAAAGTAGAGACTAAGTGCCTCATTACATAACTGTCAAACTGTGCGATTATAGAAATAGAATATGCTGAGCACTGTGGTATTTTCATGATTCTAGCCAGTTCTCATGATCTCTATAGTCAAATTGAGGCATAAACCTTAACCATCACAGCTAATGCGATTCTAAGCTTGTACCTACATAGTGATTACTAAGAGACATATATTTTAATATATGCTATAAATGCAGAATTTTAGAGGATATGATAGTTGAAAAGTGAGGAGTAGGAAATGAGAGCTTTGTTTTAAGCTTAGGTGAAATCTACAACATCTTTTCAAAACAAGATGTACATAGATACAAAGAAAAAGAAGAAAATGTACTGGATAAAAGAATTATTGAAATTCTTAGTGGAAAGTCCATGTGAAAAAAATGCTGACTAATTAATAATCAGGAAACTGGGGATAAAAACAACAGTGAGATACTCCTTTGTACCCAACAAATAGGTAAAAATGTTACATTCCATTAATATTAAATGTTGGCAAGGATATAATACTAGTATTACCATAACTTTATGTAGTATTAATTATTATAATACAAATAAATAATACTAAGACAATGTCTTCTCCATTCTTACTGTGCTACAAGTGTACAGTGGATCTTTCCAGAGGCTGCATATTCTGTGACAGTCATTGCTCTCACGGCTAACAGATGTATGTTTCTGTATTTGTAAATTTTAAAGATAATATTTTAAATCTCTAGGAAAGCAGTTCTTGATAACTATAACTTGGCTCAACAAAGGCTTTTTGGGATTCTCTTGATTTTTACAAGTTGAAAAGCCGTTGTTCTAGAATAGCAGCTTCCAGGGTATAATTTGTAGAGGAATAGTATCAGAATAATCTGTTCAGTTAGAAGTGTCAATTCTTACATCCTCATCCAAATTTCCTAAATCAGAAACTCTAGAAAAAGAGTCCAATTTATGTCTTATAATTAAGCCCTACAGGTGAAATTCTTAACAATGCTTAAGTTTCAGAACCACAGTCTTTGAGAAATTCAGGAATATTCACAACAGTAATGCTAATAGTGAAAAAAACCCACACAAACATACATATATATATTTTCTAGCTATAATAATAGATGGGTAAATATATGGTGCTACAGTCATAAACAAATAAAGCAATTAAAGAAGCAATGATCTATAGATATTTTAGAGAAAGTCACCAGAATGCATAGAAATTTTTTCGTTATAACCCACTGCCATTAAGTTGATTTTTGACTCCTAGCAAGCTGTAGGACAGAATAAAACTGCTTTGGGTGTCCAAGGCTGTACATATTTACAAAATCTTGAAAAGATAAAGACCTCATCTTTTTCCTGAGGAACAGCTGAAGAAGGCTTGACGTGCTGGCCCTTTGGTTAGCAGGAATTATTCTTTTAACCACTGCACCACCAAGGCTTCTTTCCATAACGTTTGTCAATTTCTAAAACTCTGTGTATATGTTGTTTGTTGTTATGTGCCGCCGAGTCGCCTGCGACTCATAGCAACCCTATGTACAACAGCCCTAAACTCCGCTCTGTCCTGTGCCAATCGCACTGTCTCTGACACTCCCATCCCAATTATCCCAGTCACTGAATCAAGCCACCTCATAGAGGGCCTTCCCCTCCTGCACTGTCCCTCCACCCTCCCAAGCATGATGTCCTTCTCCAAGGACTGGTCTCTCCTCACAAAGACCTCTGTGTATATACCTGTGAAAAATAAAGAGTATTATATTTTTGGGGCACACTTTGTAGGATTTGATTTGTGATCCAAGTGGGCACATACAATGTTTTAGTGCTATTGGCATTACAGTTCTTAAGGTGGTTGTTTTCTTTAAATTATTTATATGCATTTCATACATCTTTTGTATGATTTGTTTTACCGTCAGATATTAAAATAAATTTTAAAATAGACATAATATACACTTTTTATTTTGAATCACCAGGAAAAAGAACTCAAGTTTTCCATGTTATTTGTATGAGTCCAAGAAATAGAAATACCATTTTACAGAAAAGTCTATTCAGTATGGTTTAAAGGTTTATTTCTTGACTCTCTATAAAACCTTCTTGTCCAAAATTACTCATTCATGAAGGATTTTGATTAGGCCATTCTTTTAAAAATAATTTCTTTTTAGAAAATGAACAAGTGGGTGATCCAAACAGTTAATTGACTGACTATGGCTGGAGAGCAGCAAAAAATTAAATATTAGCAGTGCTTATTAATAAATAACTTCGGCTGTATAGTTTTCTCTAATATAATGTGTATCCTCTAGAAGTGATTAGGCAACTAAATGCAAAATGAAGTAGGCTACTGTCATTTTACTTTGTCAGTGTTTCATCTTTGGGTAGGCAAAGAAGATAGTAATTGAGAAGGGAACTTTGATAAGAACAGTTAACTTTAGAGGCTTTAACTTCATTAATCCTTTAAATATTAAACTTCTGAAATATAAAGATGACATTCTGAATTTTAAGTATTGTTAGTGCCTGACCAGTTTAGATATTTTAAGATATATGAGCTTAATAATTTAGAGATAAACCAAAAACTACTGCTTTGGCTGTAATAGAGAAAAGAATTCCTTCAAATATATGGAGCGAGATTTTTCTAAAATAAACTGTTTTAAAATTTTTCATATTTTACACAGTCTAAGAATTTTCTCAGTATGATCAGTTATTTACTGACTCCTCCCATGAAAAGTACATTAATCTTCAAAGTTTGCACATAAAAAACCAATATGACAAGCTCACAAAAACCAAATATGACAAATAAAAATGACAATGTCATATCTAAGTGCTTTGAAATTAGAAATTGTCTCCAAATGATTCTGCTATCATATGTATTAATAATAACTGTTCATTAATTATTTATAATTCAAATTAAATACAGTAGTAATAAATGTAGGAAATACACGTATTAATAGTATAAATTTATAATTTACTCTGACTTTGGCTTTGATATAGTCTTAAAATGATTTTATAGTAGAAAGGAAGAGGTTTATAAAGCACATGTCATTAATACTTTGACATTGAAAAGTTGACAATCCATCAGATTGTCTTCTGATGCTTTATTTCACTGCAAAGACTGACATATTGATAAACCCCACTTAAAACTCACTGGTGGTTTTTCTTGTATATTTTGTCCATGAATAATATATATTACAAACAATATAAAATTAAATCTCTAAATTTATATGTAATGTTTCCAGCCCACAAATTTCAAATTTCTGGATATTGATAAATTACAATCATAATGAAAACTTTTTTTTTTACATAAAAGAAGTATTCTACTTCTGTCACAAAAGAACTCTAAGTTAGGGACTACCTATAAAACTTAACATATTTTAAAATGGCACAGAAAAAATGTCTAGGTGATAGTAGCAAAATAATTTGAGATTATGCTTGTTTGAAAGGCTTAAAAATGTTATTTATCTTCATAGCTTTGCATACTGTATCTGGTTTTCCTTCTCTTTTTAGCTTCAGGGTTAGAGCTGTTTGGTTTTGCTTCTCTTAGGTTTCTCTTTATTTTAAGCTGTGGGCTTTAAAAAGTAATATATATTTTTAACTGAGAGTCCCTTTTCTTGTTCTGCCATCTGAGGTGATTTACAATGCTCAAGTCTCTTTGTTGGTTGCCTTTGACTAATGCTTTTCAGCAGCCCCGGGCTCAGCTCCTGGTTCCCAGTATGGCACAATGACCAGGCAGATTTCTCGGCACAACTCTACCACTTCTTCGACTTCTTCTGGTGGATACAGACGAACTCCCTCTGTGACTGCTCAATTCTCTGCTCAGCCTCATGTTAACGGAGGTCCACTTTATTCTCAAAATTCAAGTAAGCTTGTGCTTTGCAGGCGTACAACAACCATGGAGCTCCTTTTGAAGGAAATTATTTGAAGCTGCTAAATTTGCCTGTGATAGACAGCAATTGAAACCATATTATTTCAGATATTTGCCTTAGAAATTTGGTCTTTAATCATATCTTTTTAAAAGTAATTTTATAACACTTTGTCCTCTAAAATTCCAGACTTATAAAATAGATTTAGAATACTAAAATTTAAGTGAAGCTTCACTTTTTTAATACTAACAGAGCTAGAGAACAAAAGAAATCACTAGAAAAGCTGAATTCATTTTATTGGCATGATTCAGATAGTCCAATAATAGTCAATTTAAAGACACAAAGTATGTAAATAATGGCAAGGATATGAAAAAATTGCTGGCTATCACTTAAAAGTTAACTTACAGTTAAATGAATTAAAAACTATTAAAATAGGTTCTTGATGCCTGCTTACTCTGAATAAATCTAACTGTGGGAAGAATTTTCTTTTGATTTCACTTCTGTTCTCAAATTGCACATCTCAGCACTAACTGCAGTCAGTGTTTAAAAGCAAATTAAAAATTAGTTTTAGCATGTAATATCAGGAAGCTTGAACTAGAGTGGTCTGGTCATTAATTTAAATTTTGATACTAAAATGTTTAATTCTAAAAGAAAGAAATGAAATCTCAAATGAGCCTATTGTCCAGTATTTGCTATTGTCTAAAAGTGGTAATCACTGGGCATGGACTGCAAGACCCTTCCCAAGAAGCTTGTAGCTGCTTTCTAGAATATCACACATTTTCATATAGATATAAAAGTATATTTTGAACATGCATCATGTTGTAAAGTGAAATTATAGAAAAGTTTGCTTCATTTTTTAAATTGACATTTTAATGACTGCGTTAGATAAAAAAAGTTTTAAGAATTGAAAACAACTTCAGATAAACTCTAAAATTCACAAAGTAATCCAGAAAGTTTCATTCAGGCTCCTGAAAAGTACCACTTTACTGATTATTATTTTTCACTTTGCAGTTTTCATAGTCTCCCTTTTAGTAATAAAAGGTCGGTGGCATCTGAATAATTGACATGTTATCTCATCATTAGCCACACTGGTTTTATGAAGCTTAGTTTTTCATATTCTGATGGATTCTGGGGTCCTTTCTTTATCTACTCATTGCTCTTTCTGCCTCCCCACTTAAACTTAATTTTCTCCATAAATAGAATTTTTATTAACTCTTGACACAGGTTGATGTAATTTTATTTTAGTAATTTTTGGTAATTTATCTTTTCTCAAACAAGACAGTTGTCTAAATTCTTTGGATGTCGTAAAGCAAATTTAATTTAAAATTTTAAATATCTCACTGTTTTGTCATATTAATTATTCTTCAATCTGAGTTACTTTTGATGTTGTCGTAGTAGTATGTAAAATGTTTTTAGTGTTTTGATGTGCATATTTTCTCTCTGTCTAAATGTGCTGGTAATGAATGGTATCTTCACAGTACAGTTTTTTGTTTTGTTTTGTTTTTTACTATACTAATCAGCATGCCTAGATACTGAGGGTTATTTCTAAAAAATTTCATTTGGGTTTTGAGGTTTTTTTAAAAAAAAATCAAAACCACTAACCTTTTATTCACCTACAAGCTTTTTATTCAATGAATGAGAACCAGTTTCATACTGAATTAGATGTTATTTTTAGCCATAATCTCATTAATGTGCATGTACTGGTTTGTTATTTACTGCGTCTTTACACATTGAACATGTTTAAATTTTTATGATTATCAAATTTTGTACATTGGATTAATTGAAGCATTTTTTTAAATAATTTAAGCCCAAAACAACTTAATTGAGTTGATGCTGATTTAGAGCTTGCTGTTATTGTTGTGTACCATCAGCTCTAAACAGAGCTGACCAGCCTTCCCACAGTGGGTTTTCAGAGGCAATAAATTGCACAGAAGAAAATTGCCCATCTTTTCTTCTGTGGAGAAGCTTGTAGATTTGAAATATGTACCTTTGGGTTGGCAGTTTATTTCCTTAGTACTGAGCCACCAAAGCTCCCTGTTGTTGTGTGCCATTGAGTTGTAACTAAGGGTCATAGCTGACCCAGAACAGGTTTTCCAAGGTAGTAAATCACCCAGGAGCAGATTGTCCATTCTTCTCCAGTGGAACAGTTGGTGGATTTGAACCACATGCCTTTGAAACTGCAGCACAGCTTATAGGTCACCAGCGCTGCCTAGAAACCAGTCAGTAGATTGTTTTTGTCAATTTAATTTGGTGTTCTTGGTCACTGCCAAATATGAAGTTTTACTAGCCTGTGTTACTCACTTTTTCTCAGTATTCTGAACCTATCTTGTTTAAAATGAGACAATGGTAAACATAAGTATATGCCTTCCATTTTGTTATAATTCAAAACTTTTGCTGCCCACAATGAGCATCTGGTGTCAAGTTCCTACAAATTTCCTTTTTAGAAGGAAGTTAGATTGTTTCAATTTATCCAGTGACTCATTCAAAATTACCTCAATACAAATACTTACATATTTTAACTTATTAGGGGCCAGGTCTTCTTTTTTCTGAATGATGATAACAGATTACTTTTGAAATATCTTCACTCATAAAACTCGGTGAATAATTTATTTGATATATTGATTGCAATTTCCACTTGTAGAGCATTCTTACTTTCTAATGAATTTAGTATTGGTATCTTTAAAACCAAAATTGTCTATTTAAAATACAGTAATGGCCTTGTTTTTCAAACAGGGACTTTACCTGACAAGCTGCGGGTAAATCTAGATTAATAAAAATTAAGCCTGTGTTTAAGATTTTTATTTCTAGAAATAGCTGTGAAATATTTGAGTTTATTCACAGCATTACTTAAAGGCTGGATAACCCTGTTAGGTTATAGAGATAGGTATTGTTACTTAATTTTTAGAACTGTTTCCTTGCAATTTGAGAATTCTGTTGCATCATTGTAATAGTAATATTACAACTTCCTCAGACATATAATACTAGGATGAAATTAAATGTTTGGTTTTGGATTTTTTGTTTTTTAAAGTAAACCAATTGGGTAAGCACAAATTGGCCTTAAGTTTCATGGAAAATGAAGTTGAAGAAGGTTCTGCAGGTTTTGTTTTTGTTTTTGTTTTGTTTCATTTGCAAACTGTTCTTTGCATACTTATGTTTGTGGTCCTTGTAACTGACTTCTGCTTTTTGTTTGTTTCCTTTTCTTTCCTTTATCTGTTTTACTTCCCCCATACCATGTTGTTGCTACCAGTTTCTATTGCTCCACCCCCTCCCCCTATGCCTCAGTTGACTCCACAGATACCTCTCACAGGCTTCGTGGCCAGGGTGCAGGAAAACAGTAAGTTTGGAAAAACTGAGCTGTCAAAGAGTAGAGGCTGTCTCCTTATTATAGCATGCATGGCAGATGAGTCATCATTTTCCTTACCTTTATTGAGACGCTAATCTTATCTTGAAAATAGGTACAGATACAATCTAGAAACTGAAGAGCACGACCTTCTTCCTCTCGTGTGCATGATTACTCACCTATATAAACTCTTCAAACTGCAACTTTATGTATTTAAATGACCTAGGACATGCAGCTGTTCTTTGCAGATTGTTATGAAAAGCATAATCAAATTAAAAAATTCAAATAGTGTAGAGATCTAGTTTCATGTAGTTAATGAGGAGAATTTGTTAGAAAACATTTTTTATTTTGTTTCCAAATGTGTAATAAGATAGATTTTGTTATATACATCTATTATAATCTTAGTTATATAAAAATATATTAAAATGGATTATAATGTGAAGTAAAATTTATTAAGTGGTTAGGGCAAACTTTTACCCCCATTAGTTACAAAAATAAAATAAAATATTTGAACCTAATCGAAGTTTTTTTATTAGCATGGGAATGATCTTTAAAAACCAGGCTACTATATTTATGCTATCCATCTTCAATGTTTTGCTTATAACATGCAGACTTGTGAAAGATTTAGAAATAGATCTACAGACTTTTTAGGTCTTCTCTGAAGGTTTTATGATTGTTTGAAATGAGCTGATTTTATGGATTTAATTGAGATAAATTTATCATACTGTATGATTACTTGGGGGTACAGAAGATACATAGTACTAGAAATTTGATTGTAGAGAATAGTGTTAGACAAAATGAAAAAAATAACTAAATTATGCCAAAACAACTGTAAAGACTTAAGATGCTAAGGAGATCTGACTGCTTCATTTGAGACAGTAACTATGAAAATAATTCTCAGAATGGTTTGAACAAATGAATAATCCACTTGAACAGCCCATTTTTTTATGAGACTAGATTGTGGGACATTCTCTCTGCAGCATTTGCTGACCTTGTGTTACTCTCTCCATTCCCTCTCCTCGCCTAGTTGAACATGTTTTTTGGTGTTATGTGCAAGGCTCTGGAAAGAATAAAAATAGTTTATCTTTAGACAAATTCCCTGCCCTCAAGAAATGTATGATCTAATGAGCTTTTTATTAAAATCATATTTTCAAAATACTGGAATTATTCCATGTAAACAAACCTTACCGCTAAGTCTTTTTGAAAACACTTTTTAAGTTTAAGCATGTAAAACAAGTATGGATTTTCTTAAAATAAGCACATAAGCGTAAATGCCAGTTCTTAATACTGCAATAGTTTAAAAGCTGACCTTGTGAGTTTTAGGTAAATATTTTGAGATAGCCAAAATAAAAATGAGTTTTGTGGGTCCAGAGCTCATTTGGCTACCTTTTTGGTAACATTTTAAAGAAATGTAGTACATTATTCTGGGCATACATTATCTTTGTCCAGGAGGCTTTTACTGTTAAAATTCATTTTACCAACTATGTGAATTTGAGTGGATCATTACTTCTTCTGTCATAGATTTTTTTTATCATTGTTTGGTGTCTGTTTAAAAGGCATTTTAGTAGGGTTAGCCATAAACTGTATATCTCTACTTAAGAAGTATTGTAAAGTATACATTTTAGATGTTCTTTCGTCTTTTTAAATATCTGGTTTTTTAGAGCACTCAAGAATTGGTTGTGAATGCATGAAGCAGTTAACCTATTACTAAAAGAGCTTCAGTTTGAAGGAATGAACCACTAAAAGTGTGGGTGTGTGAGTCTGTTTTGATTAACATCAGAAAGCATTGTGGAAGTGTTGGATTACACTTACAGCTAGACAAAGTATTATGCACAGGGAATTAGAGTGATTTAATTACTACCCACCCCCCCATTCCCCCAGTTTGCAGATAAGCCAATGTAGAGTCATCATAATTGCACTTGTAGACAGTTGAAATGAATTTGTTAATTATGTATGAATACAGAGTAGATGCACTTTAAAGATTCAATGAAGCATAGATGATTTAGACAGTTAGGCCTTATTAAGTGTGAAGTTTGATGTCACATGGGCTCATCCCATATTCCTTTTTTCTTAATGCTAGAAAACTTTGTGGAGTAGGTGTGAGTAAAGATAAAGTGGATCCAAGCATTAAGTGGCAAAAAGAAATTGATAACCTATTGAAGTGAACATCATAATCGAGAATTTGTCTTTAAATAGGCTTTGTTATATTCCTCAAAGAAGGTAAACTAGAAGTCAGAGAGTTGAAGAGTGATTATCTGCAAATGTTTTTAGTTCTTTTGTCTATATACTTGGTACATTATTTTAAGTAGAATGAAGTAAACTTTTGAAAATCTGTATTATAAATATGTTATGCTTACTTTTTTCACTCATATGTGACTCACTATTTTTATAGTATCAATATTTCCCCTGCATCATATACTTTCTTTTCATACCCTTTCCCTACATCATTTGAAGTTATTTGTGAATCATAAACTTAAATTAAGCCTTAGTTGTGAACTTGACTTAGTGCACTTGGTTTGCTTTATAATAGCAGTGAAGATAGCTCTAGACTAACATTTTCCTCTGTATTGTTTACACTGATTATTTAAAAGCACACAGACACATATTACAACATGCTAGGATTTGCGGTGTGAATAATTTTTATTGTTTTATAAGTTTTTTAATGTGTTTTTAAAAATTAAATCTTCCTTAGTACTTTTATTTTTAAATTTTAATTGGATTTTTTTTATCCTGACAAAATTTGATCTTCAGGATCCTTTCCTTTGTCCTGTACCTTTATGTTACTAGCAATAATGTAAAATTTTTGCTTGACTTTGACATTGAAACAATTATGAATAGAAGCATTTCAGAAGATACTACTACTGGAAATGATTTCATATTTTAATTTAATTTTTTCATGTTTAAATAAAAGAATAGAAAACCTAAACACAGAGGCAGACCTAATATCACTGGCTTATATTAAAGCAAAAAAATAATAAAAATCCTTTCACTAAGGCTTATTGCTAGTCTTTATAAGTAAAGCACAATTCAGGGACATGCATAAACTCAGTAAAATGTTATCAAACCATTAATGTTACATTTATATATAACATTACTATAATAGAAAACGACAAATGTGACTTAGTTTATTTTAGATAGCCAATCAGAATGCTCTAAATCACTCGGTGTCTCTTAAGGAATCTTGATATAAACCTTGAAATAAGGAAATTACTCTTAAGAGTCTTTACAAGAAGAGATATTGTATGTTGACCTCCCACATTGATTAATTTATAGTACTTCCTGGTGCCTTTATTTTTAGCCCATTTTATTATTGCAAAATTATTTTTAAATGCTACTAGGCATAAGCTTTAACATACCAAGCTTTTATTTCTAATCATTGCATGTTTTACTGTAGTGCATGCTGTATATGAGTTTTAGAGCTTTCTTAAATTCTGTTAATGTAAAAATTTGCATTTTATCTTATTTCTGGTTCAAATTAATTATCTGAACTCTTGTAGTTGCTGATAGTCCAACTCCACCACCACCACCTCCACCAGATGACATTCCAATATTTGATGATTCTCCACCTCCACCTCCACCACCACCAGTGGATTATGAAGATGAGGAGGCTGCAGTAGTCCAGTACAGTGATCCATATGCAGATGGGGATCCTGCTTGGGCCCCCAAGAATTATATTGAGAAAGGTAAGATAACAGTAATTGAGTTGATAGAAAAAGGAATAACCTAATAATAGGATTTTGAAAGTATAAAGACCTTCTAGTCGAAAAGGTTTTTAACTTTTAGGAGTTCCCTAACAGCCAAAATATTTAGTTGACCCTAATTTCCTATACTTTATATTATGCTCCAACAAAATGAGAAGATTACTCCTTTATTTTTTAAACTGAAGTTATGTTAGATAGGAGTTTTCAAATTTAACATTTGCTCCAAGCTAGAGTGTAACCTTTCTGTTTTTTCAGTTCTGTTTATTAATGAAACTACTGAGGTACTAAAAAAAATTAATAAGAGTTTTATACACTGTAAGATGGGTAGATGAAGCTGTCCATTGTACCATTTTTCTTTGAATTCTCAGGCATGCTTTTGGCAATGCAGGAATTCTGTAACAAATTCAATCAAAGGAAATCTATGAAAAATAAAAACTTAAATGGCTTAATAAAGACCTAGAACCTTTTTCAAGCTCAGTAATCTTTAAATCTTTTCAAATATATTAATGAATGGAGTTTTTAAAATAGTCACAGAAAAAAGCCTGAATTAGCATTTTAGTTGGAGAGTTTTGTATTTCAGAAGATAAATTACTAAGATTTATTGTCACAAATTAATCTTAAAGTCTAATGTGTTATATCTGACATTTCATTATTTATTGAGAAATAAATCCTGTTTGTAGGGAGTTTGCTTTTTCGACCAATTCTCTGCTACTTTTTAATTTGTATTTGTAAAGAGTTTTAAAAATGCTTCTTATTTGATATTTTGTTGCCCCTGGAAATATATTGGGTAAAAGTACTTTACTGGGTTAATAAACTTTAAGCAAATAGTTGCAGCTGGAGCTCTGAAGCCCAGTGCATTCATTCTTACCTGTTTTGACTATGTCTAAAATAAATTTTACTATTTTCTTGTATTTGAAACACTTTTTCAGGAAGCCTTAATATTCTGTTTTACATTTAGAATTCCAAATACCGTTAATATCTAAGTCAACTGTATGGCATCCTGTTTCTAACGGCAGATCTTTAAGACTCTCTTTCATTAATTCTGATCCGAGCTTTTACAGAATATCTGAGTTTATTATTTCAGGATCTTGCAAATAGGAATGCCTTTAGAAGATAATAATCAGGAGGCCTAAATGTCTAGAAAGTAATATCTATAACGAGGAACAGCTGAAAGTATTATTTCCAAGTTGGAGAATATCTTTCAGAAGGACTAGAAATTAAGAGAGTGGTGGTGGCCTGGCAGGAAAGGAATTGTACTACCAACCCAAAGGCAAGTGGTTTGAATCCACCTGCTGCCTGTGGGAAAATGATGGGAAATTTCACCCGTGCAGTTTACAGCCTCCTTCCAATTTAAACTTGGTGGCGGGGGCGCAGCTCTGTTCGTTTGCTCAGATCTAACCTAAAGGTTGGGAGTTTGGATGCAGGCAGGGGTGCTGTAGACGAAAAGCCTTCTTTAAATATCACAGCCCCTCCCCACTCCAAAACAAAATCCCTATTTAGTTCATCTCCGCTATTTGATAGGGATGAGCCATTATCAATTTGACAGCAAAAAAATAAAGGTTTTTTTTCTTTTGGAAGGTAGCTGTCTACAAATATTTCACATATACAAATAGAATTCTCGAGTAGACTTTTTGGCTTTCTTATTGTACTTACAAGAAGGAAAGAGTTTGGCTTAGGAATGTTGCAAGAATAGAGCACAGTGAACCCTTAAATAATAATTAATAGGAAGAGATAGTATATGAAATAAAATGTGCAAAGGAAAAAAAGGAGTTGGCTGGGACTAGAAGCCATTCACAAAGGGAACCTCAAAAATATAATTAGTCTGACTCTTTTTGCATAAATGGAAATATAGTACATGAGGAAGCAAAATTATCAGACCTTTGTCACAATCATTATAAAAATTATTTACATCATTGTGACTCTAAATATAAATAAATTAGTGTTTCAAAGTTTTAATAGTAAATAAAAGTCATTATTACTACTAGTAAAAATAAGTCATTACTACATTGTTTTCTTTACTAATAGTTTATTTCTAGCAATCATTTGATCCTCTTGTGTGATTATTTAGCTAAAAATAATGCTGGGATAATTATTTATTCTGTATGTTTTGAGGCTGACAAGATGATGTGTCAGGGATCTCAGAAGCACAGTAGCACTGTGATTCTTTTACAGGATTAAAATGGAGAGGAATGAATGTTACTAAATAAGAAATTTTGTAAAATAATGATTGATTGCCCACTTTACCTTACTAGGTGATACTAAGAATTAGTGTTTCAGATCTTATTTTAAATCACTAATATAGAATAATTACAGAAAGTGAGGCAGTCTTTCTTAATAGAAAGTAAATCCTAGACACTTTTATTTATTTTTAAATGCTTTGTTCTAAAAATTATTACTAAGAATTACAGACATAAATCAATGAAAAAACTATTACACACTATTTCATATATATTGAAAAGTTACATTTTACTCTACTTTCTCCCCTTTAAACAAAGAAACTGGGTCTAGCTGTCTGAATTAACACGACTGTTTTACTTGGCTATGACTGTGTTAATTCCATGTGGTTTTATATTCTCAAATGAGATAACTTGTGTTGTTGCTGGATTTACTTAATAGCAGTGGAGCTTTGCCCAGTAGTTACTCTGAGAAATTCTTTTGCATCTGGAAGGCACTTAAATGACTGGATGAATTGAAATCGCTAGTAAATGTCATAATTCAGATGTCTTTTTTTAAAGACATTGGTAGAAGTTGTCAGATTTATACTAATTCAGGTGCTCACTTGGCATTAAGATGAAGCCACTGATGTAAGCCCATAGTTGGCTATTGACTCACAAATACTTGACAGATGTAAGAATTAAGAACTTTCATATAAATGATTGGTTTTGCCATACCTATAGATTTAATTGGTATTAACTCATAAAACTCAAGTACTTGTATTGCACTCATGTACTATTTCAACTCTTTTCTCCATAGTTGTTGCAATATATGATTATACAAAAGACAAGGATGATGAGCTATCATTTATGGAGGGTGCAATCATTTATGTCATAAAGAAGAATGATGACGGCTGGTATGAAGGAGTCTGCAATCGAGTGACTGGTCTGTTCCCTGGGAACTATGTGGAATCAATCATGCACTATACTGATTAAACTTTTGGCTTTTAAAGTAAATCCTCATTATTACTCAGTCATACAGTGGGACTATTATGGTTAACAGAATTGTCTTAATGTTTTAAGATGTGCCCATATTTTCAGGACATGCTGTTTTATCGGTATAATTGAATGTCTACCCGTCAGCATAAATCATGGAGACAGTTTGTGTATTGCTGTCTTGCTGAACAGCGGTTTATACAAGAAGCTGTCCATAATTGATTATGCCAATGTACTTACTTACATACTGTTAACTTTATGACCAGCCTAAATATTCTGGGGAAGTGGGGTATAATATTTAAATCATGATTTGGATTGTACCAGTACATCTTTCAGTGCAGCATGGTTACTAACACTGTCAGACTAATATTGAAATCAGCTGGTGCTGGTTAGAGTTTTGGTTTCAATTCTCTCATTCTTGAATCTATACTATTTGTTTAAGGCATGCATACAAATTTATGTACTGAAATATATTTTAAAAAAATCCAAGATGCTTCCAATTTGTGTAATATGTACTTTGGAGTACTCATACTTAAGTCTCTTGAAATGAATTGAGTCTCTAAGGTCTCCATGTGAAACAAAATGAACAAAAAGGATAATCTGTAATGTTGTAATTTGTACCTAAGTTTTTTTAATGAGTGAATTTGCATTATGAATTTTTTTTTTCATTTATAAATATGTAAGTGAACCAGAGGTCTCTGTCCTTCACTGGTTTGCTTAAAAATAAATAAATAAATAAATAAAATATGCTGATTTATTGGAGAATTATGGTTCTGTTTTCTCAGTATATTGACTTTTGAGAATAATTTAGCCTTATTTCAGTATGTTCCAACAGCAATGTGACTAAAGATTGCAGATTTAAAAATCTAAGATGGTCATTTAGAAGTCAACCTACTGAATGCCCCTACCCCAAGAAAGGTGTCATAATGTATACAGATATCCTATTTTTAGACCAGTCTCCATTTTACAGTTTATGATTATATATTAAGGAGCTCTAGTGGTATAGCATGTTACACATTGTGACGCTAACTCAAAGGTCAGCAGTTCAAATCAGTCTGCTGCTCTAATGGAGAAAGATGGGCAGTCTCCTCCCATAAAGACTAACAGCCATAGAGACCTTGTGGAGGGTTGCTGAGTCAGAATCTACTTGATGGCAGTGCAGGTTTTTTTTGGTTTGGTTATTGAATATTGGTTCAATGGAAGGAAATTATGAGGATCTTTTACATACTACTTTTGTAAAATTGGGTGCAATTACTTTCTGAATAGGCCCTATTTAATCCATTATCTGGATTATGTTCCATTATCTCCATTATGTTGTAGTAGCAACATAAAAGATTTTAAAATAAAATAGCTGGGAAAGATGGTAAGACATTCATCACTGAAAAGGATATTTACCTAACCAACAAACAGATTTATATTGTCTTTTGACATAAATGAACTGCAACACATGCACTTTCTTTGTCTCCTCTTCGGTTATGGGAGGGTTAGAGGGTATTTTCTGTTACCCTGTGTGTAATTTTAGATTGCTTGGGGTTTTAGTGTGGGTTTCTGTGTATTGAGGATTTGTTTGACTATAAATAACAGTTCAGTACTCGGTGATACAGACGTCTAACAGCATAGTGAATGGTAAAAATAGTGGAAAACATTTATTTCTGAAAATTAAAGACCATTATTGCTACCAAATCAATGTGACTGTTTCATATGCATTTTACTTTTGTTAATTTTAAACATGGTTTCAATATTATTAATGATCAGCCAGCTACCTTCTGCTTTTCCTTTTTCGAGTGGAATGTTCTCATCATTTGTATATAACCTGTTGTCTAAATTTTATGTACAGTCTTTTATAATAAACCATTCTCCTATATAAATTTTGGATACTGTTAAAAATTTAACTAAAGTGGATTTAAATGTAGACCTCAGTTTTCTGCTCCTCACTCCTGTTCTGTTGCCTTTTCAGTAAAGGTGAAACAAGATTTTGGATTTTGACAATGATTATTTATTTCTCTAATGGCTATCTTTACATGTGGGTGGGTATTAACAATGTAAACAATACCACATATAACCATCTGATACCTCGATTAGAATTTACGGGACTAGAACGACAGGTTTTGATCATTCCATTTCATAGTTATGGCTTTCTTCAAAACCATTTACATTAAAAAGTTTCTTGAAAAACCTTGCCAATTTAAAAAAAAAATCCTATCAGTGAGGTTGAAATGATTTTTTAAAATGATTTTTGGTTATCTGCACATGAAGCAAAGTGTATTTGACAAAAATCTTTAGGCACAGTCTGGTAAAAATAGCTGCCAGGAAGGACAGAAAGAGTTGTCATTTATCTCTTGTGAGTACGATTTCTGAAAGTTGAATGAGGGCATCTCTTTCTGGGGATGGTCGAAGTTTACTGATCTCCCTTATTGCTTCATGGCAGTACCGCTGGGCGAGGTAGGTTGTTTGTTGCACACCATCACTCTATGCAAGACAAAACAAAACAGTTGCATGTCATTACCAGGATCAGCTTTTAAATTCAAACACTTGTGAGAACAGATAAGATACAAAGATAATAGCTCAACTATGTTTCTATTGTTAGCTCTCCAATTCACAGTTCTTTTAGGCCCTTTTCTCAACTTTTTATTCTAGGAGCATGCAAAACAACTAAAATGAACATTGAGTACTCATCTATTTTCCCCTGAAGTCTTAGTTTGTGGTGGTTGTTTTTTTTTAAGTTAAATAAAATAGTAATACAAGTGGAAGTAGGGTGCACTGAAACAGATGAGGGACTAAATAATTTAAAAGGGATGTATGATAGGGTATTAATAGTTATCACAAGAGTCCACAATTAAGGTTGCATAGTGGAATGTACTTGGGGCGGTGGGAGGGGTGCAGGGGGATTGTGTACAAGGGAGGGAGTCTTTCTTTTACTTTTGAAAGAGAGGAGCGAACTGGGGGGCGGGGGGAGAGGGCGGGGAGAGTAGTACAGCAATGAATGAATGGAAATCCAAATTCTCTGTAAATGTTCATTAAAGTTATTAAAGAAATTTTTTAAAAAATCAGTATACATAATAAAATTAAAAGCTAATCAATAGTTCTTTTCCCTACTTCCCAAAAGGCCAGCTTTACTCATGGGATTTGGTTCTTTCTTCATCTAGCTCATACACTCTTTCCAAATTATCAGGTTAGGTGGTAGTGTTAGGTGTCAGTGTAGGTCTGACTCAACAGAACAGAGTACTGCCTCTGTTTGAGCATGCTGTTGAACCTCAAGTCAGTCTTGTTTTGAGAGCCTTCCTCTCTATTTTGCTGACTCTCTGCTTGACAATGCATGATTTCTCTTCAGGAACTGAGCCTTCTAGGTAACATGCTCAAATTATGTGAGACAGAGTCTCATCAGCCTTGGTTCTAATAATTATTGTGGCTGTAATTCTTTGAAAACAGATTTACTCGTTCTTTCGGCAGTCCGTGATATATTCAATATTCTCCACTAACATTGTAATTCAAAGGTATCAATTCTTTATAAATTGTTCAACCTTTTCACATGCATATGAGATGACTGAAAAAAATCATGACTTGGGTCCAAGTGCATTTTAGCAAAGATCTTATGTGAGTTTTGTTGCAGTATTTTTTGTTGTTGTTGTGATTTTAGTGAAAAGTTACAGAAAGGATGGGTTTACATTCATTCATCAATACACATTTTTCTTCTGTCCTCCATGCAAGACTTTGAACACGTACGTCTTGTTGTCATACATCTAATGTCTAATCCATTCTTTTCTCACTTTCTCTCTCCCCACCCCTGTGTCTTTACTATTTTTACAATAGAACTAAGTTCACGGAGGCGTCTAGGCACATCCATGTTGTGTAGTTATTTTATAAATTCAGTTTTCAGTGCTGCATAATACTTGATTTTGTCAGTACACCCAGGTTTTTCTATCCCCTTGTTTGTTGCCGGGCACTTGGCCTGCTTCCATCTCTTTGCTGTTGTGGATAATGCTGGATAAACATGAGTGTGCATACATCTGTTGTGTCACAGCTTTGATTCTTTGGGGGCATGTTCCAGTTAATGGAATAGCTGGTTATTTCAAATGCTTTTTCTATTTTGAACTTTTTGAGGAAGCACTACACTGCCTTCCATAGTCTTAAACCATTTTATATTCCATCTGCATTGATTTAAGAGTTCCAATTTCCCCATCAGCATTTGTTGGTTGCTATCCTGTTGAACATTGCTATTACTGCTGTGGTGAGATTGATGTTTTTCTTTGCATCGCTCTAAATAACTAGGGATTGATTTTGAACATTTCTTTAAAAGATTAGAACAATTATCTGAATTTCTCCTTTGGTGACATGTATCTTGTGCCCATTTTGTGACTGGGTTGCTTTTTCTTGTTGAGGTGCTGGGGTATTCTATAAATTTTAGGAATGAGTCTGTTATCAGATTTCATTGCCAAATATTTTTTCCCAACCTGTGGAAACAACCTTTACTTATTGAAGTATTTTGGTGTGCATGAAGATTTGACTTTTACAAGATCCCATTCATCTATTTTATCCTCTCCAAATGTAGGTTTCTATAATGCTTGGAAGTCTGTGCACGCTATAGATTAGGGCTTCTAGATTTGTTCTGAGTTTTTCTTGATCAAACTTTATATTATCTTTGGTTTTACTCTTAGGCCCCTGATTTGCCTTTATTTGGTTTTTTGTGTGAGGTGTGGGTCTTGCTTCAGTTTTCTGCAGATGGTTGTTCAATTTTACCAGTACCATTTATTAAAGAGGCTGTCATAGTTACTAATTGTTGGTTCTCATGATGTCAGAAATTTGGACTTTTGGTTTTCAAGAGCTTTGAGTCTCGATTTAGCAAATAAGGTCATGTGTCATCTGCAGGTGGTAAGTCTTCCTCCAATCCAGATGCTATTGTTTGTTCAGCATACGAACTGAATAAAGTCAAAGGATACAACCCTGACACATCCTTTTCCTAACTTCTAACTATATGGTATTTCTTTGTTCTGTTCACATGACTGCTTCTTTATCTACATATATATACTTTCTGCTTGACTTAAGTGCTAACACTTGAAATATGTTATGGAATTCTCAATCTCTGCAATGTCAATTTTAGTTATCATCTGTTGCCCTTCTGCCGAGGATTCAGCCCATTCATACAATGCCTGATCATTGTATCACTGTGTTTATTTCTTCTGTTATTATTATTATACTTGCCATTTTGTAGCACTGACTTCATCAAGTTATCAATGCTCAAAAGTTTTTTTCCTGTTATTTCTAAATTTTCCACTACACAGAGGGATTAGAAACTGCTTAAAGAACAGAAAATGGGACATAGGGGCACAGGGCCATGAGCATCTTTCGGAAAGGGCCAAACAGAGTGAGAATAGTACAGTCCCTTACAGGCCCAGAGCAGAAAACTGATCAAGAGCCCGTAGCCTAATCCCATGGTGCTTCTAGAACCACACTAGCAGCAAGAGGTTCGTTTATTCACTGTTGATTACAGACTGTATTCACACTTGTGGTACCAAGGGTATTAGGGAAATAAGTTGGAGAATGGAGGAAGAGTATCTCACAATTCAAGTCCAGGTTAAGTCCACCAGTCCAAAGTACAATTAATAGCAAAACACAATTCCTTAATTAATAAAAGTCCTGGTTTCAGTTCAGCAACACAAATTTAAGAAGCCTCTGGTTTCCTCAAGCACAGCAAAATCTTTAACTGTGGCCTTTATCCTCTTGTGGTTACACGTCACTAGTTTCTCCGTAGCAACGCCATGCTCTCTCCTCCCTCAAGTCTTGCTCCCCAGTGTGGGAAGCACTCTCTATTATCCCAGTCCCACAGCTGCCGATGATTTGCACAAGACCTTATGTCTACAGTTCTGGTAGCTGGTGAGAAGAAGGGACTAAGGTAATGGCTAAAAAAGCCTACTTTAAAACTAATACCATAGTAACATTTGTGTTATATTTTATTACTATGTTTTAATGTTGGTTGCCCCTAAAAGCTATGATGTTAAAAAACATTTTCTCCAGAAACAAATCGTGTGCTTTGGTTTTATTTGCTTTATTTCCATAGTTACAAAGTCATGATTGTTCTGCCATTCAGAGTGGAATATTCCTAACATGCAGAAAGGCCTCTAATAGTCTTAACCATGACATATTTTAACTTTTTTTGCCTTACTGTTACTATCTATCACAGTCTAATACCAACACTACATTTTTAATTTATTGTGTCATTCAGTTTTTGCTTGGACCAACCACTTTCTAGTTCTGCATCACTGCTGTCCTAGGGTGTCTTTTCATAGGATTCTCTGCTTTATTATTCCTCTTGTTTTTATTTTTCTTGAGATAGAATCACAAACAAACCTACCTAGGATTAGAGTATGAGAAGTCAACTTCTTAAGACCTTATGTGTGACAGTGACTTTTTTTTGCCTTGAGACTTTTATTTGGCACAGAATTAAAAGTTTAAAATGTTAATTATTTAGAAGGCTTTTTTTTACTCTGTTGCCTTTTAACCTTCAGGTTTTTGTGGTGGTGCTGGTGGTTGGTTTTTTTTTTTTTTACAGAGTAATTTCTTTTCCATTTGTAGATGACTCGGACTTTCTTTTTTGATTCTCTTAGCTTTTCTCTCATTTCTAATGTTTTGGCTTGTCTGTCTATATTTTGGAATCCTGTGGAATTAGTTTTCCATAGTCCTTTAAAAGGTCTTAGAGCTTGCTTATCCATTGTTTATTCATATTATTCTGTTTTATAAATATGGTATCTTTTTAAATCCACCTAGTTATATTTCTTTTTTGTTTTTCTTGGACTCATTCTTTCATACAGCAAGCTTTCATCAACTGTTTAGGAATCAGTTGTCCATTCATATTTAATGAGGATTTGGGAGCTCCGTGTGTGAACAGGATGCTAAATTATAGAAGACCAGTGATTTTGTTGAAAGAACAGCCTGCGAAATGTTTTTCCTAAGTATATTTCTCCCTAAACTTGGCAGAACTTCAGTGTTTTTTTAAAGAAATACAGTTAATTCCCTCTTTTCAATCTTATTTTTCACTCACCCTTTTAGTAACACTATTATTTCTTAAACCAAAACTGCTCCATGATTTCCCAGAGACATCATCTATATGTTTCTATATTATTGCCAAACCATCCCACAAAGAAGTGGTTACCTGCAGCACATGATGATGAACAGAAATGCAGGGATTTGGTTTTTGTAAATACTAAAAATCTGAAGGGTAATTATTTTTAATTCTTTCAAGTAACTTGAAGACACCTTAAGAAGTGAAGAAAAGCTCATTCTCAAAAGATAGACTTAGCAAACTGGAAAAAAAAACAAAACTTGGCTTCTACAAAGAAATACTGAGGATATTTTAAACACTGTCAGGTTGGAAGCAAGTTATAACTCCCCTGAAGGCTAAATAGTTGTTGTTCATAAAAGAAAAAAAAAAATGACGTGATCATATAGTTCACTTGTGTTAGTTTTTAAAAAAGGTTTTGTTGTGTTTTTGAAATGGATGTTTACTGATAGCACTTAACGGCTAATCCAAGACTGCTGGAGTGCTTCAGAATTAAAGGCTGGGTGAGCTCTGAAAGACTACAGCCTCGACAGCACTGGGAAGATACGGGGGGCGTGTGTGCAGTGTGTGTCCCCGTGAGCAGGAACTAACTCACTGGCAACTGGCTTTTGTTGCTCCTGTGAAACCAGTGTTGGTGACAAGAGAGCTTGCACGGTGTTTGAGACTAGAGAACAGGCATGGAGCTTGGCTGCATGTAAGAATTAGTATTTTCTTTTTTTAAAAAAGAAAAAAATTAATCCCTGACCTCTAAGCCAGTTACTTTAAAATCTTTACGACATCATATAAGATTTTCCTTCTTAGCTTTTTGTCAAATCACAAATTGACTAAACTTGGTTTATCATTTTAATTTTTAAAGTTACATTATTTTTTTGGTTCAAGAGCTTTGGCACCTTGTACTTGCAGCGTTTTGTGTTTTTGCTTCCCCCCCCCCCCTTTAAATAATCTTACCTGTAGCACGTATTGTCGAGCTCTGTCCACATCACCTGGCAAACTGAATCTTCTCATTATCATAGCATTCATTTCTGGGAACTGATCATAAAGAAAAATTTTATTGCTCTTGGGAGGCTTAAAATGTTCTAGCATTAGTTTGTCATTTACCCTGACAACTGGGAACAAACCAAAAAGTCAGTTAACTTTCTAGATGATGTAGGATTAACCTTTCTGTGACTCATGGGACATACATTACCCAACAACCTTTTCAGCCTATCCAATATCTCAAGCTACCATTCCACTTGTATATTTACCAGCACCTGGCAAGGACCTGTAATTAGTAAATCTGAACAAACAGGCCAGCTTTCCCTCCACCAATCCTGCCACCACACACCACTTGGGATGACTGTGTTACACAGAATGGTATCACAGTTGATACTGCCTCAGAAATCTGCCCCCTCCTTGAGTTCAGAATGCCTTCCAGGACTAGTAACATGCAATATTGAAAAAATTCAAAGAAGAAAATAATTCTGTCATGGAAGGGTTAAGAAAGCTGCACTAAGAGCAACATCTAAGATGGTGTGGGGAAGGAAGCAGCTGTGGATTCTTGGTGTGATGATATTCTAGCCTCACACAACTACTTGGGTAAGAAAAGGGAAGAGAACACAAAAATGAGCTTTTGGACTTAAGTTTTTTTTTAACATCAAATAACACTAGAGGAATAGAAAATAAAACGTGGCCTTTAAATGAACAGTAACACCCTAGGTATATAGATAATAAACTTGCAATCTGATTTTCTAACTACAAATTTAGTTAACCCTTTGGTGACTATTTCTGCCTTTCTAGGTTCTTGGGAGGCTGTGATCCCAGTTGTAGTCCATTCTCCTGCTTGATGGAGCTCACTGTAACTGCAAATCTGAAGAAATGGGACTTGATAAAATTGATGAATGGGACCTTCAGAAGAGTAAATCTCTGTGTGCATCAAAAACTTTTTTCCAACATGATGAAAAGAAAACCATTGACTGGGAAAACATTTGGCAGTGCCTGTTCAGACAAGAATCTCATAACAAAAGTGTACAGAATCCTATGGGAGCTTCCACAAATAAAAGACTGATAATCTAATTACAAAACGGGCAAGAGACAAGGAAAGACTTTTCAGAGAAAGACATTTGTTTGGATGGTCGAGGGACATGAAGAAATGCTCTTACCCCACTAGCAGGGGAAAAGCTTAACAGGACAATAAGGAATAAATGTTGGAGATGATCCAGAAAGATTGGAACTCTCATACACTGTTAGTGAGATAGTAAAAAGGGACAACCACTCTAGAAGGCAGTTTGGCATTTCCTCAAAAAAGTTGAACATAGAAATTACATAAGGCCAGCTATTCCACTTTTAAGAATATACTCTGAGAAATTACAACTGAGTCAAAAATGTAGATCTGTACACCAATGTTCATAATGTTATTCACAATCACAAAAACATGGAAACAGTGCAAATGTCCAACCACAATCAAATGGATTGAGAAACTGGTACAGTCACATGATGAAATATTATGCAGCACACAGGAGCAATGATTTAAAAAATTCTTGCTAATGTTGACTGGAGACCATTAAGCTGAGTGAACTGTCTCATAAGGACAAATAATGCATAAGACCATTACTGTAGGGGAATGGAGGGGTGAGGGAGAAATCATAGGGTTGCACAATTTAGTAAGTGGAGAGGGGAAGGATAAAGGAAATGGGAAAGATCCAGTGGGGATCTGGAAAGACAAGAAAATGGTGGGCATAGTTCAATGGTGATTAATACAACACATGAATGCCAATGGTTGTATGAAACAATGTGAATGAACTTTGTGAGCAAAACCAAGAAAAAAAAAGAAAAATGGGCCTTGGCATCACCAGAGTCCACACGGGAGGAACTGTTCAAAATTCATAGTACTAACTCAAAGAAAAAAATTCCCTTCATTTCAGCATACCTCCCATTCCGAAAATAGCACCAAAAAAACCCCCAAAACACAACTGAGCAGTAAATAGCTCTGTCACGAAAAGGTCATACATATGTTTGTACTAATTCTAAGGCACAAACATGGCAATGGCTCACAAAACCCAGGTATTCTGTCATCAGTGTATGCCTTAAAGCAGTATTCCCTAAACTTCATTATCAGGTTAAGGCCCTGTTAAAAAGACTAATCCTTAGGATTGACTTTATTAACAAACAAGAACATCCCATGAAATAAACAGGCAAGCTTGCAGATTACTACTTTAAAGTTGCTTTGGTTTGGTGGCCTAGTGGACTGGTCCTACACTGCTAACCCACAAGTGGTGCTTCCTGGGTTCAAATCCACCATTGGGAGAATGCTAGGTAATCTCCACCCATGTAAATTACAGCTTCTGAAAACCCACTTGAGGGCTAGCTACACGTTCGTTCCTACTCCTTGACAGTGACTTTTTAACCTTGAATTTAAAGGATGGCAACAGTTTGCCCCAGACAGTGGTTCTTAAATTTAACCCTGTTAAGTCCTGTCCTGCTGGGCTCCTTCCCCAGTTTTTGATGCGCCCTGGGTGGGGCCAAACAGTGCATTTCTAACAAGTACCCAAGTAAAGCTGATACCATGAGTTCCTGAGACCACTGGAGAACCAACCACTAAGAGAGATGAGAGTGGAAATTAGGTATTCCACAATAAGCACTAAACCGAGTAGGTTTCTAAATCAAAGAACTTTTCTGGGCAGAGCCTTCTGCTTTAAGCAACAGAAGATTCAAGTAGTAGTTCTCAACATTGACTGCAAAGTGGAACCACTTGGGGAGGTTTTAAAAAAATTTAAGAGCTGGGTGAAGGAATTGGGAAAGATCCAGAAGATCCAGTGGGGATCTGAGAAGCTGGCATAATAGTGGGTATAGATCAATGGGGATGAATTTTAAAAGATGTATGGGGATAACTGTATGAAACAACATGAATGAAAGAATGTATGAAACATAATGTACATGAATTGTGTATGCAAACCAATATAAAATTATAAAAAAAACCCAAATAAACAAAACCACACCACACAACTTCCTGGATTGTGCTCCCAAAGATTCAGATGTTTCTAATATCGGCCCAAGCTGAGATTAGGTGAATTAGGAGTTAGTTATGAAGAAGAATTAAACTACGGCTAGTCATAGAAAAAAGAAAACTGGTATTAGGAAGATAAAATGGGTAATCTCCAAAACTCAGTAATAATTTAGGAAAGCTGTCACCATGAACAGAAAATGGAAGCCAGGGCACCAAACAGCTTCATTTCCTAGATCTGAGTGCTAGTGTTGTTTCTATTACCAGATGCCACAGCTGAGTGAGTTCTGTCACCTGGCCTCCTCATCTGCATAATGAGAGAGTTCAACTACATGGTCTGAAACCCTTTAATTTGAACGGTCTTAGTCTTTGGAATAGGAGAAGGAAGATGATGTGTTAGGCTTTGGACATGCCCAAGCTTATACTAGTTTCCAGCTTTTTCCTGGCAATAAGCCCAAAGGATGAAAGATGTTGTCTTGAAACCATCAACATATTAGTAATCCTGGAAGAAAAAAAAAGGGGCACACGTAGAAAAACCTCAACCAGTTGATGACAGATGAGGAAATCAGAATGTTATTTTCAGAGAAAAATATGTGTCATAACATTTTAAATATACACTGGCTGCTAATAAATTGCTTATAGCACTGAAGGAGCCAGGAGCTGGTTCGTTCTCAAATGAAAATCATAATCTGCTTTCTGTTACTGGTTTTTTAAGAGTAAGCTTTTTTAAAAATCAGGCAAGGCCAAATCAATGTATTTTAGTAGTCAAAAGTCAATTATGCATTTACGTTAGTGTCTTAATGCCACATTTCAAAACTGGATTTTTAGAGGGCTGTGACAGCAAAGCCGATGTGACAGCTGTGCTGGATACAATTAAGATCTTCATAGTGTGTGAGCTTTTCTGGCATATCAACAAATGTGAATGCTGACTGCACAGTTTTTTTTGATGCTTTTATTAAAAAACTGAAAAATCAAGAGTTTTACGAGAAATTTGCATTGAATTTGACTACATCTCTTCCTCTGGAACATGAAGTATGTGCAGTTTTAACATGTAAATATTGAAAACTTTCCCCACTGCCTTCTATGTGGGAGAAGGCATGAAAACCACAAAGGAAGAGCAGATGCCCGCCCGCAGATACAGTGAGTAAGAGAAGCTGTATGTGTTCAGGCTGTTTTTAAAAGTATGGAAACCACCTGTGAAGCAGTCAGGTTCTAACTTGGAAGCTGGTCTAGAAACCAGGGTGTCCAACCAGCTCATTCCAGCTCAACCCCCTCTCCCACCCTGGGAATGTCCATTTCCACTCCAGTTACACACAATCATGCTACATTTTACCACCACCTTATATGTCTGTAACAATCACCTGGGGATCTTGTTAAAATACAGATTCAGTTCTTTAATGCAAATAATGCACACATTATATAGCATTTATTTATTCTCAGACTGAACAATTCTCTTATACATAACTTCCTATTTCTTTGTATGGTCTAAACAAAACCGGGGATCGGTAAATCAGAGTCTGCTTACCTAGCCAAAACTTGAGTTTCTCAAAAGCCCTGAGTAGCTTCATCGATAGCTTAAGCTTGTACAGCTGCTGTGTGATGGGAGCTGGCACGGGATGTATACCTACCAGCTGACATCACAAATAAGGAGAAGCAGAAGGAGGAGAAAAAGACTTTTCTAGAGACATCTGTAAGCTAGAATTGTGTCATTAAAGAGTAAAGACTTCTCTGAAAATTAAGTTGATCTGCCATAGAAAGATACAACATGGAGGTTTTGCTCTTAGGGGAAGTGAACAGAAAAAGACTCTGTCCTCATGGGGAACGCTGAAGAAATTTGGAAACTTTCCCTGAGGACCCTGTCCCACCTGTCGTCAAGGAACTATATTTCAAATTATTAGTGAAATCCCAAAAAGCTAGAGAGTAAAGGGTGACCTAGAAGATACAGGGAGTTTCTTTCAAGTGCTTTTCCAACAGATTCCAATTTCAAGATGGCCAGCTGTGCCAAGTTAAGTAGAGAAGCGGCTTCCTAAGGCTGTTTGTCTTGGACCAGCAGAGTCACACAATCAGTGTTCATAAACGAGGCAAGTTCAAAGATTTATTTACCTAGTCTGCAAGCCAAACTCGCCTATCTGTGGAAAAGGATTACCAGTATCTTGCAGCTCTTCCACTAAATGGGCAAGTTAATTACAGAAATGACGCGCAGAGTCACCAGTGCATTTCCAGTGCCAGGGTGCATTGGTTACCTGCTCTGTGAGGAGGCCTTAAAAAGTACTCAAATTTTCAGCAGGCTCTCACTCATAAACACCAGTGGCAGTAACATTCGTGGTGTAGTATAGCAAATACTGGTCTTAGAAGATTTGAAGTGTTTAGTTGTTCACATGCCGTAATGAAACCCACCATAAAGAGAGGAATGGCGGGACCCCAGACGGTATTAAAGAATTTTCTGGAAACTATAAAGGCATTTTCATGAAATGTTATTTTTGGCACTCGTTTAACTCTAAATTAACTTTAGCCTTACAAATCTTTTGAAAAAACAAATTTCTCGCACCCCCCCCTTTTTGACAGCCTGATACAGAATTTATGTTGCTGTTTTAATTGGGGGACACACACTACTTGACCATCCCCAAAATACAAAACTAAAAAAATACTCTAACTTCTGGTGCATGCCAGAAAAACCAGTCTGCTCATGAAACAAGTCCTACCCAGCGTCATCGGGTGTCACTTTCTGCTCAGCCTAATTCTGTGGCTGACGTGTTTTTGAACTCCTTTTCCCACTGTATTACGGGCAGATTAGTGCTGTCTGCTGAGACTGAGTGTGGTGCCCCGTGATGCTGGGATTTCCCAGTGACACACACAGCAGTGGTTGGGACACTGTCGTATTCTCCCTGCTCTCTCTTTTACTTGCATTTTCCAGTCTCTTGTAGACTGTTAACAAATGAGTATTTTAGTATGTTCAGTCCCTTATTAGAGTTCATTACTCATATACACCAGTGGGTGTCTGTGTAGATTAATGTGTGTGGCTGCAGAGATGGTAGCTGGTGATTAATTTTTCTAATATGTACATGTTAGATGTGCCTGTTCCTTTACCTTTACGTGGCTCATGAATAAACACTGCATTTATATGGGTAATAATAAAATAGGAAAAGCCTTAATGTTGAAAAGAAATTTCATAAATCCCTCTGAGGTCTGGGTTACTGAGTACACCCCTGAGCCTTGCAATCAATCTCCCAGTTAAAGAACCCATTCAGAGTATACATTTCCCCTTTTTATCTCTGCCTCAGATTTTGAGAGGATGTAACCTTGTAATACTGAGGAATGATGTTTCCACAGAGCACTACAAAGTTCACCCCCAATGCCATTATTCTTCAAGTATATTCACTAGGTTGTCTGCCAACCAAGATCTCCACTAATATGATGCACAGTGCAGCCCATCTGCATCGCTCCAGACTTCAGCCTAAACTAGCCCAGGAAGAAGCCTTCTAGCTGTGGCTTTCCTGGAAAACAGGTAAAGGCTAATCTCTCCACTCTGGATTCAAAGAGAGGAAGAGCCCTGACCAGATGGACTGATAGGATGACTGCCACAATGGGCTCTAATGTGTCAGGAAGTCTGAGGATGGCACAGGACAGGGCTCAGATCTGTTGTTCATAGGGTTGCTATGGGTCATACTTGACTCAGTGGTACCAAACAACTAACTCTGGGACCAGAAACTGATCAAAAGCATTTTGTAATATCAACATAGAACCACTGATAATAGAAGTTTACTGAACAAAAGATCAGGGACTGTAGTTTTCAATATGGATTGAAGCTCAACATCAAGAAGACAAAGATTCTCACCACTGGGACAATTGGCAGCATCATGATAGATGGAGAAAAGACTGAGGTTAACAATTTCAGTTTGTTGAGCTACACAACTCTCTTGGCACTACAGTTGAAATCAAAAGAGGAATTGCATTAGCAAAATCTATTGTCAGGACCTCTCCAAATTGCTAAAAAGTAATGATGTCAGTCTCAGAACTAAGGTGCACCTGATCCAGGCCATTTTCTTTGCAATTACTTGCTATACATCAGAGAACTGGACAATGAATAAGGATGCTAGAAGAAGAATCAGTGCCTTTTAGATGTGCTGGAAAATGGTATTGAACTGGACTACCAAGGGAACAAGGGTCTTAGAGAAAGTGAAATCAAGCTTCTCTTTGCAGGCAAGGATTTTGACGCTTCATCTGTCATTGGCATGTAGCCAGGAGGGATCAGTCCTTGGAGAAGGACATCATGTTTGAAATGGTGGAGGGACAGAGCAGGAAAGGAGGTCCTCGGAAGAGATGGATTGACACAGTAACTGGGAGGAATGAGGGTAGGTGTGTCGGAATCAGTGAGACTAGCTCAGGATAGGGCAGACTTCAGAGCTGTTGTATGTAGGGTCACTATGAGACATTGGTGACTCGATGGCACATACAACAGAAGAAATGACAATGTTTATAAATTTCAAGACAGAATTGAGGTAAAATCTCTGAAAGCCTAAAAGTTACTAAGAAGTTAGAAAAAACTAGTTTTCAATTTCATGGTATGGGAATGACTACAGCTCTGCTATATAGCAAATGAAATACTAATAAGATGAAATTTTAAAAAGATGTATCAAGTTCCATCCAGTGTCCATATATTTCAGCTAACATTTGACATAGCCAAGAACATGGTCATGGCCATGATCCTCAGAAGGCTGTGAAAATGTCTTCTTTATAAATCAATTTAGCCTTTTGAGGCTTCTCAAGCCTTTCATCCGTACTAGGGAGACAATGAATCTGGAGAAAGAAGGAACTAAGGGATTCTGGTGGTGAATTTCATGGACTTTCTGCCACTTTGAGGAAACTGCCAAAGTTTTCAGTGGCCCTCTGAGAACAGCAAATAGTCTAGAAAGGAGAATTTCTGAGACTCTTCCTGTTCAAATGCCCCTGACACTTCCAGCTTTGCACACCCAGAGGCCACCATCTACACAAAATGTAGAAGCTACTCACCTTGCCAATGTCAAATGCATATGGAAATAATTGTGACTATGTATGTGTTAATTTAAAGTTATCCCATGTATATTAATTTTCTCACAATAAGCCTGGGAGGAAGATTATTTTCTTGGTAAGTAAACAGGCTTGTTAAGTGCCCTTGAACTGACTCTCCAGGGGGTTTTCAGAGACTGCACAGAGACTGTCCATTTTTCTCTCCCAGAGCAGCTGGTGAGTTTGAACCACCAACCTTTGTGTTGGCAGCCCAACTCCTTACCACTAGCCACTCAAGCTTCGTAAACAAGCTTGGAGAGATGAAATGACTACACCCCTCTGCCCCCCATCTTGGCCATAGATCTGGGATCAAATGCAGGTCTCCCAATCTCTAGGGCTCCAGGTCAGAATGTCAAGGAGGCTTTGTCAAACCTACCTGTTGGCAAGCAAATAAGACAGGGCCAGTGGCTAACCCGAGCTTCAGATCGGCTGATGTTGGTTTGCCCATCTGGTGCGAACATGAGGTGAAGTCTAGTACGTCATCTATTAGCTAACAAAAGAAAATAAAGGCAGTGTTTTAAAAAGCACCACCCTCTCAACACTGCCACCCTCCTCCTGTTCAGAGCATTTTATTCTGGGGGACAAGGTTGGTATTCCGACCCACCATCATTCTTAGAGCTACATATACCTACCTGAAAAGCTATTCCCACATTTTTCCCATATTGATAGGCAATCTCATGCACCACTGGGTCAGGGCATCCTAAGACAGAGACCTGAAAAAAGAATTCCAACATAAGTTGTTGCAGGTAGAAAACCCCTGAATAGAAAAATTTACATGGTAGTAACATAATCCCCTTGAATGAGAAACACACGCTAGATATCTGTAATCGGGAGATACTAGCAGAGGATCAAACATGTACATAATAGCGCTTCCAGAGAAAATGCTTCCGTCTTGTGTTTTCTTCAATTCTAACAAAATTGTCTTGTGTCCAGACAGTAAGAAAGTAGTCCTTCACACTGCTAGGGAAAACTGAACTACAACTAGATTTAGCATATTACAGGCAGGTAATATGTTAAGTACACTTCTTTGATATTCAAAAGAAAACTATTTTGGGAAATACTAGTTTCCACCATTAAGCAAAATGGACAATTAATAATCATGACTGATTTCAGATACATATATATTTTATGTATATTTTGTTGCTACACACTTTTTATTTTAATTACGTAAAAAGTTAGTTCTTGTAATAATTTCTGGTGATCTCATGTCTGCTGATTTCCTGAACTTCATGTTTAAGATAGACATTGCTCTTTGATTATCAAAAGGATCTTCAATGGAACAGTATAAAAACTTTTCAGTGGAGGAAAATAAGACTTCTAAGTCTTACTTTTTAAACTCCCCAAACACTAGCTCACGTGGAACACTTGATTGCATTTCCTGCTGCTCTGCGAGGCATGCTAAGCAGGCCCAGCCTCCTTTACGGAAAATGGGGACTCTGTGGAAATCCAAGGGGGGGAAGACCTGTTATTCTTCTGAAGAGGAAATGTCTTTCAATGAGAAAACCAGATGGACCTCTTCACTGTCTCCTTTTAGTGATGATCACCAAGGATAAAGAACCCTGACCCCTAATTCTCAAGCTTACCCCAGCAGCTCCCTATCAAGAACCAAGCCTTCAAATGCTCCGCTGGAGAAGGAGGGGCAATCTCCTCCTGTGCCATTAACATCCGATTCAACAGTAACACAATAAGAAGGGGGCAGGGGTGGGCTGGGGGGGTGGTGGTGGAAAAGAACCAAGCCTTCATTTACACAGTCAATATGTGGAATGACCAGGGTACAGGCTCTGCACTTATCTCCCTAGAGTTGGATTATGTCCTTTATAATTACCATGTGACCTTGGAGTATTAATCTTTGCCTGTGCAGTTTGCTTATCTGCAAAAGGAATGAATGAAACGTATTTACATCACAGGGTTGTTAGGAGGAATAAATTTGCTGCTACACATAAACCCAGAGCATGGAGCCGGCATCTGATTGTAAATCAAGCTCTGTCATTGTCATGGAGTCAGCACAACTCTGAGCTCACCTTCTATTAAGTTTCTGACACTGTAAAATGCACAGGAGGAAGGCTGCCTGTCTGTCCCTCCTCCCCTCCCCTTCAGAGCTTCTGGTCAAACTCACAGGGAGATACAGCCTTTAGGTTAGTTAGCAGCGCAGCTCGCAACGGCCTAGGTCACCAGAGCACTGTACAAAACTCAAATATGTGTGCTATTATTAGTAATTCTCCTCTTTTTCTACCAGCCACAGCCTGGGCAGTGTCCATCCACCTCTGCTCATAAAACCAGGTCATTTAACTTCTTCAGTTGGGGCAGTGCTTTTGATGATTTAATGAAGTTTGTGAATGAAATGTTCCTAAGTCCAGGATAGAAATGCACACACACACTCTCCCAACCAACCAGCTGGCCACTTTCTTGATTGAAAAATAACTCATTACTGCTTTCAACAGCAAGGACCTTCGCACCAGCAGGTGCGTACCCATGGGGCACAATTCAAAAATGTTGACAGAAGCCAAGATATCCATCAGTGTGCATGCAGGAATGAAAGTGTGGCAAGATTCGGGAAGGCTGGAATTAGCCAAATTCAGAACAGAACAGAACAGAATGAAATTCCTTTCACAGGCAGAAATAACTGATAATTGAGGCAGTTCTCTGAACTGCCTGATTAATGCCATTTCCTCAACACAAAAGCCGCACAGAAATAGATGCTTTTTTCTCGAGAAGTACAAGATTTTCTTTTGAAGAAAGAGAGAAAACAAAATCTACTTCGACTCTAAACGGATAGGAATTAAAACTTAGGGAGCACATGTGATTTACATTTTAAATACCTATAAATGACATCAGTAAGTTGGTACTCACTGTATGTCTGGTTCTATTTTGAGGCCTGTCATGGTGTTAAATTAATTTAAGGTAGGGATGAGACAGTTTTGACTGGTTGTTGCTACTTGTTATGTGTCATCAAGTCAATCTCCTGCAGAGCTACTGGTGGATTCGAACCGCATCCTGACTCTCCCGTGGGTTTTCCGAGGCAGTAAATCTCAAGGGAGGAGACTATAAATCCTTCTCCTGTGGAGCAGCATGCCTGTGGGATCGCAGTAGGTTTCTTACCTCTAGACCACCAGAGCTCCCCTATGTGTAGCTATACATGTTTATTTATATATGCATTTTCACTACACTGATACATAGGAATGTGTGTGTGTGTATATATACATACATACATATAAATAAATAAACATATATATGGGCAATAGTACTTTGAACCCAAATGGGAGGAAAAGGCCATTATTAAACAAACTAATATAAAACCAAATTAATAATTTGGGAGCAAATACATGAAACATAATGTCACAGATTAAGAAAAATACATTTAATTTACTATTCAAGGAATTCTTAAGAACTAAAGGTGGAGGGGAGATCAAACATATTGTAGAAAAATGGGCAAAAAGACATAAAAAAAAAATACAAAAACTGCCCCAAGCATATGAAAAGCTGTCACTCCTAAGGAGATGCAGACCTGCAGCACCATGTCTCGGCTATCAGGATGGCAAATATTGAAATCTCTGGGGAAACACCCATAAGCTGCTGGTGGAAATGCATATTGATATAATCCTCATGGAAGTTAAAATTAGTAGTGTCTGTTGTCAGAAGGGTCAGTCCTTGGAAAAAGGACACTGTGCTGGAAAAAATGGAGGGTCAGTGAAAGAAAGGCTCTTGAAGAGGTGGATTAATACAGTGACTGGAACGGGGGGTTAAGCACAGCAGAGACGATGAATGCGACAGTCCTATGAAGACTGGACAGTCATATACATCAGAGTCATTTCACTGACAACAAGATGAAAACCACATATGCTATTACAGATAGACCCCGGAAGCCCATCCTTAACAAATGAAAAAGTACATTGAACAAAATGTGTCACAGTAGCACTGTCTGTAATTGTAAAACATCAGAAATTTCAATGTCTAAATGTTGAATGGCAGTTTCACACGACATATGATACCACTGTTTTAAAAAATGAGGAAGATTCTATAAAGCAAAATAAAGTATTTTTATAAATTACTGTAAAAAAAGCAGGGTCCAAAAGCTAAAAAAAGTACATTATATTGCTTTCTGGCGATAACGAAGGTGGAGGGGGAAAAATCAAACCCATAAAACCCTGAAAGAAAAAACCCCCAAATCAGTAAGAATGGAAGGGAACCCCCAAGATGGAATAAAAATGAACTTCATTATATTTCAAACAATATGTAGAAAGGCAGCTAGAACATAGTGTTTTGGCCTTATTCAGGCTAAAGACAAAGGGAACCAGGAACAACTATTCATAAGGGTTTTTCTCCACTGAAAGAGGAATAAGCTGTTACATAACACAGTGTATTCTAAAGGGAACCCTGGTGGTTTTGAACCCACCAGGGGCTCCCTGGGACCATGAAGCAGTCTGAACAGACCACAGCAGTGGGAACCTTAGGGGGAAGTTCGACTCTTGTTTTTTAGGGCGACTGTGAGTCCAAATTGACTCAAGGGGAATTTAAAGAAAAGAATTTTATTTTAATGTGCATTCTTGATTTGCACAGAAAAATATATTTTGGTGATCAGGAGAGCCAATTTTCTCACTGCTGATTTGAGTTTTAAATAACACTCTCCTCTAAAAACGAACCAGGGCTCTTTAGAGAAATGGAGGATTCCAGGGCTGGGAAGGACAGATGGACCTGCACAACTCCCAAGCTATACATTAACCAAGTGCTGAAAGACAGACAGAAATAAGTCAAAATGACCCAGAGAGCAGGATTAAAGGGTCCCCTCCAATGGCCAAACAGAAAACAGCAGAGCAACAAAAGTAACAAAGGTTTATAAACCACTGTAAGAATTAAAAATCCATCTAGGAAAAATGTCTTTATCATAGAGTATAAACACTATTGAAGAAGATGGGTGTAGAAGGAATGATAGAGCTGGGGGAAACACAAGCCACTTGGCAACCGCCACAGTAATAAGTGGCTCAATCATAAATAGATGATCAAACCAGAAGATGAAAATTTAATGAGACACAGAATATTTACATAATCCCAAAATAACCTCACTCCAAAATACTTCATTTCAAAGGGAAAACTTGTAACTTTAAAGTGAAGAAACCTGGCAGACATCACCTTCAAGTGATCAAAGTGAACATTACCAGTAATTGGGATAAAAAGATGTCATGTGTCCTGATGTGCTGAAATGAGAAGACAGCATCATTTCAGTTCCTGCCAAAAATTCCTAGCCTGAATCTAATCTTGAGACTTATCAGAAAAACTCAACCTGAGAGACTCAACAACAGAGCACTGGCTTGTACTCTTCAAAATAAAAGATGAAGTCTGAGGAATTTTCAGATTAAAAGAGACTAATGAGTTTCTTAGGGATCTCTGGCAATTGTAAGGAATTACACTGATGACCCAAAGGTACATGGTTCAATTCCACCAACTATTTTTTGGGAGAAAGATGGGGCAATCAACTCCTGTGCAATTTACTGTCTCTGAAAAACCACAGAGGGTCACCCCTGGTCAGTTCCAACCCAAGGGCACATAACAAGTTTGTAGAGAAGTAAATCATGCTTGGAAAGTAGAGGGGTCTGGAAAAGGAAGAGCCTTCATGAGATGGATTGACAAAGTGCCTGCAACAATGAATAGGGGCTTACGCACAGCAGCAACTGTGAGGAGGGCATAGGATCAAGCAGGGTTTTTTATTCTGTTGAGTAGATGTCAACCGTATGGCACCCAAAAGCAATTACAGTAAGTAATTCAGAACAACCAAATGCAACATGAGATCCTGTAGTGGTATCAGAGCAGCAAAAACGTCTTTCTTTTGTTATAACAAACACTATTAGGACAATTGGCAAAACATAATTAAGGTCTGCAGATTTTATTTTAACAACAAGAGCTCTCTTGTAACATGACCCACAAAACAAAATTCTGTGCAATTGTTACAGTAAAAAAAAAAATAGTGATGCTATGTAGCTTGGAGAACAATCACAGAAGACAGCTCAGATCACTTTCAGCCTTGGAAGGAACAGAAATGCAGAAAAACTGAAGGGGTAAAACAGCTGACTGCAGGATGACCACACTCAATTCTGGGTTCAAATCCTGGTTCAGCCACTGTTGGAGAAATAACACTGGCTAGGCCATATGCCCTGGGAACAAGTCACAGCCATCTCTGGTATGTCACAGCATGTATTTTGCACAATTATGTATGTAAGTGATTTTACTTGTGCATGAAAATTGGATATGCCATGGAATGCCAAAAGAAAAATATGGTCTTTGAAGAAATGAAGCCAAAATGCTTCCTAAAAGTGAGACTGGCGAGCCCTCATCTCACATAATTTGCTACTTCAGGAGCGGCCAGCTATGGAGAAAGGCACCATGCAAAAAACCAAGCAACAAGGGCCTTGAGCAGAGTAGTGACTGTTAAAACTGGTGTAGGACTGAGTCGTGCTTCACTCAGATTTATCGCCTCAGAAACCTGGTAGAAGGTCTCTGAGTTGGGACTGACCTTGGTGGCAGTGAATGAGTGAGGCAACTTTTATAGTTAAATCTCCACCAAAAATACAACAGGAAAATTTCAGAAATGGGGATAATTTAACGACAAAAGGCATACATTTACTGTCACTGAACTGGATAGTGAAGATGTCACTCAACTCTGCATATGAAGATAATTGAAATGGCAAAAGATTTGCCATCTACAGATTGATATATAACAAAAAAATTACAATAATGGTTTAAAAAAGTGGGAGTTAGGGGCTGGAAGGTTTAGAAATTATATCTTTACTATGAATTAGGACTAACAATTTATGCTATTCCCAGAAACAACAGTCTCCTTCAAATTCCTATGTTTTAGAATCCCATTAGTTGTTTTATAATCTTGTTCTGATGTTTAAATTTTCTTTATCATTCTTCTTTTAGTATCTTTATCTTGTTTTTGTATACTTTCTTTCTGAGCCCACATGTCTTTGCATTTAAATATTAAGAGTATATAAAAAAATAGCAATATTGAATATATGGTAGTTCTGGAATATTTCTACCCATAATAATTTATAAATTTGGAAACGAATTCCAAGAGCTTATGCTATAACTTTGCTTTATATTAGAACAATAATTCTGTAATAATAAGCTATAAAATAATAATGTGATACAATACTAATGTTACTAATAACAACCATCCTGGAATGAGGAATCATCACCTATGTGAAAGCACGTAGCTCTGGGACAATGCCAGCATGCCTCCTAGTGGAGAGCTTAAAACATTTCATTTTTAATAAGGATCCAGCCAAGTTAATATACACCTCCTGGGTTTATTTGCTAATCTCTGAAGAATGAGGTGTCTCTGGCTAATTAAGCCAAAGTTTATGGCCACAATTAAGCATTTCCTTGATGACTCAGATCCACGTTGGACCCTTCCAGAATAGTGAGCATCAATTACGGCTGTAATCCGATGTGGAGTTCCTCATGGGTCTATGAGATGTCCACACAGGATAGACAATGACCCTGTATTTCCAACTCAATGACCCCACTACTCCTTAGTGCTTCTAAACTACAGTTCTTAAGTTTGTGAAGCCAGTAAACTTTACTGTAAACACAAGCTTGCTTTATGAGGGTGACTATAGTAATCATAACGGGAGTTTCTGACAAAGAGAATGACAAGTGAAGAACTAATGTAAAGGACTTTATAATACTTCCTTTCAATGGGTCATTATTTTACTTAGCCTTAAGTGTCTATCATTTTCAACTCTGTCTCTCTTGGAAAAAACAAAACAAAACAAATCCACCACAACTTTTAATTTCTTGGAATTAAAAAAAAGTCTTTCTAATAAAAAGATAAAATTGGCTGCAACTGTGGTAAGCATATTCTACATAACTCACATTCCTTGGGTTTCAACTGAGTCTTTTTAAGAAGAAAATGTTGCCTTCAGTCTTTTCTGGCTCACAAGTATATACTTCTGGACATTGTCAAAAAAGACACTAAGGGGAAGGGTCTATTCCATCTGAGAAGACTTAGGGAAAAATAGAACCAATTATGCTAATACTGTATTATGACAAGAAAGTAACTATTAGGTCTTCCCGTCTTCCCTTCTTGTTGAGTTACAAGAAGGGGGGCTGGAATCCAAATTTTGCCTGTAATGTCTATTAAAATGAGAAAGTCAGATGAACAGAATTCTGAATGTATCTCATTCAGTCATTAACACTGATATCGTGCATTTAACCTAGAGATGAAAGATAGTATTATTAATTTTTTTTAAAAGTCAAATAAGTGGAGAGTGGAGGGCCCAAAGAGAGAACAAAGAAGAAATAAATCATAGTTCACATTTAAGTTAAACCCTAAAGAAAATGGTTTCTTTGTATTTCATAGAAAAGTTCTGGGGAAATCTACTCATAAGAAAACCCTCAGACTCACTGCTGTCTAGCTGATTTCACTCTGGGTGTTCCTATAGGAGGAAACAGAAGTGCCCCATAGGGTTTCAGAGCCTGTGCATTTTATGGAAGCAGACTGCCATGCCTTTCACACAGCAAGTACTGGAAGGTTCAAACTGTCAGCCTTTCAGGAGCTGAACATTTGAACCACTGCACCATCAGGGCTCTTACCTGGTTACATTCGAGATATTATTTAGTTTGAAATGAAAACTTATTTCTGGTGTTTGTGCTTCGACTAGGGATTTCCGCCTTCCTTAGTATGGAAATGACTGTCACTTCTCCTTTCAGAACTATTTCAATTCCCTTGATCTCATTCCTCTTTTAAGCTTTCCCACTTCTCAATTGTACATCAAATAATGGTGCATTTTACAAATGATAAATTTTTTTAGACGGCAGGGTTTTTTTAAAAATTCTGGCTCTCAGCCTGTGTTTTACCAGGAAGTAGAAACAGAGTTTTGATATTAACTCTATTGTTTGTGTTAAGATGTTGTTGTGAAACAACCCATAGCTGACCTGCCAGGAGGTTTTCAGAAGCAGTTAATCACACAGGAGGAGAATGCCCATCCTTCTCCCGTGGAGCAACTAACTGGTGGATTGCAACCACGTCGCGTGCCTTTGAGATTGCAGCACAACTTCTTGCCATTAGGCCACCACCCTAAGAGTCCTTTCAATTCCCACAACACAGTGCACAGTAACCTACAGTTCCCCATTCTGCCATATTCTTAACCTCAGATCCCTGTGTCTCTTTATTCATCTAGCCTCCCTTACCTACTAACATGTGCTTACTCACAGATTCCTGCTCAACCTCCATGCCAAGGCTTTGCCAGAGAGGACAACTTTATTCTATGCTTGCTGGGGGGTGTGGGGGGGGCCTGGCTCCCTGTGTGTAGAGGGAAGCAGGTCTCACTCCAGATTTTGACTGAGAATCTGATCTTTAAGAGCATAGAACTTTATAAACTTACTTTCTTAAAGGGTAAAAACAGAAATGTGTGACAATATTCAAATTACTAATGATACATTGTTTAAAATGTTACACAGTTTGGAAATTAGACTGGGGACTATGTTATGAAGCTTATTTTGATTCCATCTCTGGAGGAAACGTTTAAAAGCTGATGTTAACTGCACTGCAATCCCAGAGGTACATGGTTCAAATCCACCAGATGCTCTGCTGGAGAAGGAGGGGACAATCTCCTCCTGTACCAGTCAGATCTGATTTGACCGTACACATAAAAATAATACAATAAAAATTTTTTTAAAAAATCATAAAAAAAAAAAAAAGCTAATGTTAAAAACAGAAGAGAGGAAAAACCATGGCAGAAGCTGTTGTTGAGGGTTGTTAATTCTTTCCTCATTGACCTCTGAGGGGCTTGGGTACTATTTTAAACTTCTCCAGTGAAGTTTTCTAAGAGAATTATTAGTTCCAAAAAAAGTGCTATTAAGGATGTGCCAACTGAAAAGACAGAACGTACATACTGCTTTACAACTGTTGGCTATGAGACTTGCGGTCTTCTTGAAGGTCTTTTCAAGGTAGTGTGCAAATCTTTCATTTTCATTTTCTTTTGACCCTAACTGAAGAAATTCACCTAGAAAGAAGGAAAGGGGTCATGAGATGAGTTTTTATAGCTCGACTATATGTCAAGATGAAATTAAAAGGAAGAAAAGTCACAATCAACCTACCACGCACCAAATCTTCAATAACTTGGGTTAAGATAGATATAACTGTTGTATTTCCAATTCGTGCCAAAGCTATGGAAGCTGCGGAAAGAATTAAATCTCCAGCAAGAACAGCCTAGAAAAGAAAAAAAAACCCAGCTTCACAGAAACTAATCACGATAAGGGAGCCCACCAAGCTGTCTGCCTGTCGGAAGATAACGAATGGAAGGGAGGCCATTTTGGACTTACGGGGTTATTTTCTCTTCCCTTTTCCTTAACAAGATGGTCATGGTTAGAAAGTAGGAACTTTTTTTTTCCCCCCATAGATGAGATCTGAGTATTCCTCTCAATTTATAGCTAAAGAAACATGCTTAGAGAGGGAAAGCAGTTTATTTTCTAGCCTCACCCTCCACCTTCAAAGTGCAGTCGCTCTTTCCCCTAAAAAAATAATGCTGGGCTTCCTCTTACTGCAACTTCTGCCCAGAAAGTGCTTTCCCATCCTCACTTAGGGGACCTATTTGCACAGCTGAGGAGCTCTGGTGGCCAGTGAGAAGGGAGTTGACTGCCAACAAAGAGGCAAGTGGTTCAAATTCACCAGCTGCTCTGCTTGAGAAGGAGGGACTGTCTTCTCCATTGTGATTTACAACTTCTGAAGGGGGGGGGATATCAGCTAGGAGCAGGCTAGACTCTGCAGCACTTAACAGTAGTTGCATAATTAGCTCAGGCAGTGTCTCCAAAAGCCTAACCTGACTCCAGGTGAAACTCTCTTCTGTGTGAGCATGACACCGTAAGCACCCTGCTGTGTTTTCATCTCTAGCAGTGATTTCCTTGTTTTCCTGTTTACTGAATTTGTGATGGCAGAGGCTGGGAGTGATTGTAGCTGACAGCACACTCTACTACATGGCACAGTATTTCTTTTTTCAGTAAAAAAAAAAACAAAAACAAAACAAAACCAAAACCCAAGGAATCTTGGCTTCAACTTTAATGTTCTTTGCACTAAATTACCCTGCCAATCCTTCCTAGATAAAATCTTTTGACAATTTATTTGAGCAATAAATAATATTTTTCTTTTTTTAAAATTATGAGATGTACATGTTATCAATTTACAAATTATACAGTTGAATCATATGCTGTAATCCTGTACCCTATATGCACACACATTATTTCACATAATTAAAGAGATATATATAATGAGACTGTATTAATTATGACAGCTAGAGTTCACAGACATTTTAATGTATACAATTTTCAATAGAACCACATTTTCGTTTTTTATCACGATGGTTTTCTAGTACCCAAAGTTAGTGATGTTCAGTGTGTTATTAAGTCATTTTATAATCTCATGATATATTACATATATCTCCCTAGATATATCTTTATATAAAAGCAAATATTATAAAGTTATTTTGCACCTATGTGTATACCTACATAGATCCATCCATCTATCTATTACAAATGAACACTAGCTCAGGTTCCTCAAGCTCTTTCACTTTTCCTCTACTGGCCCAGGGTAACTCAGAGGCCGAAAGGTTCTAGGCATATAAAAATAAGCCAGAAGATTGTGGCTATTCAGGGTGTGGAGTTCCCAAAAGAAGGGCTGGGAAAGTCAGTAATAGCAAAGGATCATAGAGAAAGGTTTATGTGAATGGATTTTACATATATCTACAAAAGAAGGAAAGAGGTATGAGGACACCTTAGGAGCAGGTAAGAAGCTGCTTCTCACATACTGTAGGCATGCTGTTCGGAGTAGCTATTCTCTACAGGGGAACATCAGCTTGGAACGGTGGAAGGTCAGCATTATAGATGAAAATTCTCAATGAGACAGACTGACACAGTGACGGCAGCAGTGGGCTTAAATGTGTCAGAGATGATGAGGATGGCACAGGATAAGACAGGGTTCAAATCTATTGATCACAGGGTATGAGTCGCACCCGATTCATTGGCACGAAACAGCAAGAAAATCTATGTGTAAGTACATAAAATAGAGATATTTGTAGAAAAGCAGCTACAGTGTTTAAGCACTCAGCTGTAACCCAAAGGTGAGAGGTTTGAACTCACAAGTAGCTCTATGAAAGAAAGATGGAGCTGTCTGCTTCCATAAAGATTATAGCCTTGGAAGACTCTTCAGTGGGCAGGACAGCTAGCAGGTGTGTGCAGTGATGGAGACCAACTCCAAAATAAAATGACATCTAAAATTCACAGCCTCAATTTTACTTCAACTTGACACCATGAGTTAAACAGTCTTAAAAAAAAATAATCCTCATTTCACATACCTCTCTTCAAGAAATATATTAACAAAATAATATGAAAAGATGCTTAAAAATGCATGTACACAAATCAAAACCAACCACAGAACCTTTACTGAAAGATGTAAGGTTTCATGGAAAAGCACTCTATCCCTGGGTGTTAATATTCTTCTATTTATTTCTTTGCTTTACCTCTCCTGCATCTCGTAATCAATATATATAGTTAAAGGGTTGACCTAAATCTGGGTTAATGTGAACCTAAAAATAAAATTCCTCATGAAATATGTTTTTGAAATATCAATGAAATATCCTTTTCCTTATAATCAGTGTTGTGTGCTCTTGAGCCAGAACTGACCCACAGCTGACCGTCCAGCAGCTTTTCAGAGGCTGTAAATCACAGAGGAGGAGACTGCCCATCCTTCTCCTGAGGAGCAGCTGGTGGACTCAAACCGTGAGCCTTTGGGATTACACAGCATAGCTTCTTACGACTAGGCCACCAGAGCTCCCTGACAATGAATAGGAATTATATATGAAAGTAACTAGAAAACAAAATTTATTTATCTATGATATTTCCTAATTGGAAGACCAAATTTGAGCAAACACATTTATTTTTTACTAAATCACAAAAAAAGGAAATGCAATGCAAAGAACACATGCTTTAGTACGAAAGGTGAAAAAAAAAAGAAAATGAAACCATACCTTCTTTTCCCCCCAGATCTTATTAACTGTGTGCTTTCCTCTTCGAGAACTTGCATCATCAACAACATCATCATGAACCAGACTAGCAGTGTGGATCATTTCTGCAATTAAGGCTATGGAGCGCTGGCTTGCTTGCACATGTCTAATTAACAGAAAGCAAGGCTTTTTAACAGAGATGCCGCCTACAACCCCTTCAGCAATCATCTTGTGAAAACTGGACATCAGATTTAGACAAGAAATTTTATTTCTTTAAGAGAAACTGGATACAAATGCTGGCTTCCTTGGGAAGCTGTTTCTTCCATTTGGAGAACATCTTAAAAATGCATGAGACACATTGCCAAGGTTCTGTTTTATGGACACCAAATCCAAAGGCAGAATTTGTGTAACTGACAACAAAAAGGTGCAGACACTCAGAAGTCTGATCACTAGGTTCCTTGAAGATTCATCCTGATAATCATCTGCAGGCAGTTATCTTGATTGGCTGAACAAGCTTACAATCAGGATATAACAAAATTCTAGACATGGGCGAAGGGTAAGAAACATTCTAAAGACGGTAATTTAATGACCAACTGTGGACAAGGATTTTTATTTCATTTACATGAATTAGTGAACAAAAGGCTAGTCAGCTCTGACTGAAGGTGGCTCTACAGGACAGAGGAGAACCACCCGCAGGGATTACAGCTGCACGTCTTTACAGAAATAGACAGCCATAACTTTCTTCTGCACAATGGCCGGTGTGTTTTGTACTGCCAATGTTTTGATTTGTCGCTGAGCACTTAGCCACTGTGCCACCAGGACTCCTATATAATATTTAGAATAGGCAAATTCACAGAGATAAGGAAACAGATTAGAGGCTCGGAGGCAGGGGATGTGACGTTACTGGCTAATGGACAGGGTTTCTGTTTAGGGTGATGAAAAAGTTTTGGAAATTATGATGATGGCTGCACAACATTGTAAATATAACTAATGCCATTGACTACACATTTAAAAATCATTAAAACGGTAAGCTTTGTTACTTACACACACACAATTTTAAAAGCCCCTGGCTATCTTAGTTTTTCAAACAACAAACACAAAATACAACACACACATATATATACACACACATAAGTGTCACATATTCGAAGCACTTTATACCATCTTCAATTAAATGTTTAGTATGAAGATATCAATAAACAAAATGGAATTTTTATAAAAAATTTTCTCAATAGTGCAACAATGAATGAATAGAAACCCAAAATCTCTGTAAATGTTTATGAAAATTAATAAAATATAATTATAGAGAAAAAAAATTTTCTTAAGTTTGTGTTTGATCTTTGCATTAGAAATCAAAACTTTTCTTTCCCAGGTTAAATGCAATACACAGGACAAACCACTCAAGAGATAGTATAGTGATGTGATTGGAAATGAAATGTCTCTTACATAACATATTTAAAAATGATCATTAAATATGCAACAATAAATGAAAATCCAACTCTTCTGTAAACTTTTGTTAAAATAAAAAAAAAAGAATTATCATTAGTATCACCATTATCATCTATAAGCATTTAAAAAATGACAGACAGTGAAATTTGGATGAGTTGTTGTTAGGTACCATAAAGTTAAGTATGACTCATAGTGACCCTACTGACAACAAATCTGAACACTGCCTTATCCAAGGCCATTCTCACAATCTCTCACACACTTTGAGTTCATTGTCAATCTACCTGGCTGAGGGTCTTCCTCTCCTTCACCTACTCTATATCTTCCCAAGTGAGATGTCCCTCTCCAGTGAACAGCCACTCCTAGCAACATGCTCAAAGTATCTGAGCTGAAGCTTTATCATCTTTGCCTCCAAGAAGCACTCTGGCTGTATCTTCTCCAAGACATATCTGTCTCTTCTTCTGGCACTCCATGGGATGTCCAGTGCTCTTCTCCATCACCACAGCTCAAAAGGCATCAATTCTTCTGTCACCCTTTTTGTTGTCGAGCTCTCAGCAGCATATCACGTGAGTGGGAAAAGCCATGACCTGAATCAAGAACACCTTTCTCCTCTAACTGATATGACTGCTCCTCAGTAATTTGGAGAGGTCCCTGACTGCCTTTTCCCAGTGCAATGCCTCTCCTGACTGCTGGTGTCAAGTGTATTGACTGTGGATCCAAGTAAGATACTGGAATAGGATGTTTTCCTTTTATTTAATGGAAACATCTGCAAAAGATAGTGCTGGTTCTGACAGCAGAAATTTATGAGAAAATAAGTAAAACTACGTAAAAGATGCTGGAATTCAACTACAAACAGGAAACCTGCATTAGAGACTCTTCTGATCCAGTTATGCAGAATCTTAAAACATAGTGCTTGCCAGTTCTTTCACCTAATCTTCGGAATCTTCCAACTGCTTTAAGTGAGGAAATCAACTGAAAAAGTACTGCTCATTATTGATTCATATTTCACAAATCTAGCTGTTCTTAATACTTTCAGATCACAATACATTCATGGGGTGAGTGGCTGTGGGGAGATAATGGAATGAAATGCCATCTGGCAAACCAACTTTCAAAACTGAGCAAATGATTCAGATGGCTTGCTCTGAGAATCCTTCACAGAATCTTTTTAGGAAGCTGAGATCTTAAATATTCTTTTCATAAACATTTACTAGACTTGATCTTCTTGGAGTTGAATGCACAGGAAAAGATATTATCTTTTACAATTGTTTCCCTCTTCCCTCTCAACTCTTTTGTTTTTGTTTTTTTTTTACATTTTATTTTATTACTTTTGTGTGTGTACCGTCAAATTGGATCTGACAGGTACAGGAGGAGATTGTCCCCTCCTTCTCCAGCAGAGCATCTGGTGGATTTGAACAGTGTGCCTCTGGAATTGCAGTGCAGCTTCTTGCCACTAGTCCACCAGAGCTCCCTTTCCCTCTCAACTCTTAAGTTCACACTTTTATAACAGTGATTTGTGGTGGCATAGTGTTTAACACGTCAACCTGTTAGCCAAAAGATCAGGGGTTCGAATCCACCAGTCACTCTACAGGAGAAAATTGAACAGCCTCCTCAGAAACCCAATGGGGTGTTGTTACAGCAACTTAATGGCAGTAGGGTTTTTTGGTCAATTCCAGTTCCATTAAATATTTATTTCTTACTATTAGGAGCGGAACTTACCTTAAAAACAACTGCTAAGGTCTCTAGCTTTTCTCATGCATTCATTAGTTGGGCACCACTTCCATTATCAAACTATGTCAGCAGACAGGGTTTCCTGCTGGGAAGTTACAGCAAAATGGCAGTGCTCACTGAGATACTAAGAGTGCTTTGTCACATGAAGATAGTAAAACAAAGACAAAGGATTTCTTAAAATATTTTGAAAGTTAATCTTTTCTTTCTATATATACATAAATAGAAATATATATGTTGATAGTTGTAAAGGCTTCAGGCCTTTTTTCATAGGGTCGCTATGAGTTGTGCTTGACTCAGAGGCAATCAAGGACAACAACAACGTTTTCTTTCTGTATTCATATATAGATGGAAATATATAAACATTTATAATAGACATATATATGTTTATATAGGTCTACTTTGCAAAATGCAATTTTGCTTGGCTAAATGACTACTAAAATGATGATTCTTGCTTAGAATGTCATTTTGGTTCTGAGACACAGCCTGAAAAAAAACAACCTGTCGTGTTTAGATGTTATAATAATTTTTTTCTCATGGCCTTCTCTTATACAATCAGGCTTTAATGTCTACCAGTCTGTATCTGAAAAATGCTGCCACTGTTTCATATCCACAACACTGCATAATGGTGGGGCAGATACTCGATTTTGAGAGCGAGTCGGCTTTCAAAAAGTTGGCCACTATTTCTACTTCATACTATGAGATAGCCGCCACAGCCTTCCCAACTTCTAGAAGTGTTTGGAAAAGCCAGACAGAAAAGACCGTGGGAGACCAGGAGGCACTGAGTCCCTCAGTCAGCAGCTGTGAAATCTGACTGTGTTGCCTGCACTTGTTTGTACTTAGAAACGTACGCTGTGTTCCAGGCAGCCCGCACTACATTTTTTGGTTGTTTGCCTGTTCCTTTCCTTGCTGTTGGTGTGTACCACTGAGTCAGAACCGATCCAGAGCTGGCCCTCCTGTGGGTTTTCAGAGGCAGTAAATCAAATGGGAGGAGACTGTTCATCTTTCTCCGTGGAGCAGCTTGTGGCTTTGAAACATATACCTTTCTGTTGGCATCACAATTCTCTACCTTAGATTTTGAAAAATGTTTTCACATGAAGAATTTCAAATATATATAACACTAAATGGAATAACATAATGAATACCCACATACCCTTAACTCCCTTACATTTGATCTTAAAGACTGTATCTTTTTCCCTATTCATACAAATACATAAGGTGAATTCTCAATCCAATTATAAGTAAGCACTGGTAGGGGTGGGGAGAAACTATCTGTAAGGAAAAAATAAAACTTTGCCCTTGTTAGTACCTTGGTTTGGACCAAATGAAGAAAGCAAAGTCATAAATGTGTTTCTATTTCAGCACTGAAACAAAGAGAAGCTTCTATTCCCAAATCTATTCTGAAAAGGTGGCATAGAGTTGTTCTCATGTGGTCTACAGAAGGCTCTATTTCTAATTCAAAATGTGCTTCTGTTTGTCATTTCTGACAATTTTTTAAGAAGTGCTTCTTTTAGCTTGTTAGAACTCTGACAGGCTTTATCAGTATTCCTTAAAATATATGCCTTGTCTACTATATTAGAGTCAACTGGGATATTCTTTAAAATGCAGAGAGGCCTTATCCCAGACATACTGAATCAGTTTCTAATGGTGGGCTTCTAAGGTCTGCACCGCCTGTAAATCATGGCCAAGTGGAACAAGAATCCAGTGTCCTATGACAAAGATGGTCTGAAACTTGACCTAGTTAGCACAAGACCCTGGACCTACGTCCCTTCACAGCCTCAGATCAGAAGGTGTAATCTACTTTCAGCAGTACAATTGAGAGCAGTTCTTCTTCCTTTTTAATCTCTGCATCCATATGGGTTTCAAAAGGTACAAAGGTACTTTATCAGTTTAATTTTCAAGACACTCACTAGGAAAAAATGTGAATGAAGCCTCACTTTTCAGAATGTGAACTGCATTTTCCAATTATTACTGATAAAAAAAAATACGTATCTG